GGCCATTTGCCACGCATAGTATTTCCATGTGCTCCGCATTTACCTACTCGCCGAAACGTCCGTCAAAAGCTGCTGCTACTCGGGTGGTCATGGAGTGCTGCCATCTTTTCGCTGTTTTCCCTCTTTCTGTTAGCATTGACGGTTAAACAATCAAACCACAATGTTTAGTTCAATATGCCCTGCCACGTTCTTCTGGTATACGATAGGTGCTGCTTCTGAACTTCCGTTAGTGAATGGGGTGACTTCATCCTTTGAAGTTTCACGCCATTTAGTTTACACAGGGATCACGGCGTCTGAATTTTTCAACACTGGAGATACACGGGTGTGTGTGCTAACTCTGGGCTTAATGAATCCTGGAGACTGTCATCTGCATTCTCGCTTGTTATACCTCTGGTTACTACCGTACAGGTAAACGCCCCCCTTATATGACACTCCATCAGGTGCCAAGCATGTTAGGCCTTCAACAGAGACTCATCTGGGACGGGATTGCAAATAATTTGTGGGATGAGGCGGCGATGGGCTTCATGCGAGTTGGTCTTGAAAGTCTGCATACGCCGTTCACTGGGACTTTTCGAAGAAAACTTTGCACACAACCCATCCGCAGCTATCGATTTTGTGAACGTGAGGCTTTTTGAAAGTTTTATTGCCTGGTTGTTCTGGTATGCCTTGGACAGCCATTACGACTGTTCCCTTTGAATTCTTATCGACACTTTTGCTTCTCAACGGCTATAATATCAGCGGGTTTGATAACTACTTCAGGTTGCCAGACTCAACTCTGCCAAACTGACTGCCGGAGCAAAGCCTACATCACTCCCCAAGAATTTTTCTGCTAAAGGAGTGTATCACTTGCTCTGAGGAACATCACAAGATTTGCAGCAGCAAGCAATTTCCAGAGCAGACCGTTTGGGGTTAGATGAGGTTTCACGTTGACACCGACCTTCACAACTTCAAACGACTATCTAGGCGGAGGGTATATGGTCAAGCATTCACAGCAATTGTCGGGTTTTCGTGCAATGTTGCGCGGCGTGTACGCCATCCTCTAGCCGGCCAGTCAAAATGCATTGACACTTTGGCATGATCCACCAGGTACACTATTCCACCTGCCTATTCCATTGGTTTTTCTCGGTTTCGTACCCGCAGGCACATGACAGGTCCTTGTAGTCTCCTTGCATTGAGTTCCGGCTAGATTTTTGCGCGAGGTGGTAGGGAATGATAGGCCTAACGGGATTCGTCATTTATATGTTATACTATGCCCCGATCGCTCTTGCTTTTACATGGGTTTTTCCTACAGAAATTGGTCCTTGGCGAAGAATAGTTAAAGCAATCTCGGAAGAATTCTATCAGAATATAAGTTAGGTTCAAGGCTACCTTCTTTGCGTTACCAGCAATCTATTCAGCTCCTCAAAATCTTACAAGTGGTAGCGCGCTCCTTGAATAGTGATGTGTTTTCGCTCGTCTCTCAGCTTTTGGATTTTTCCACATTGAAAAACTCCCACTTGGAATAATCAATCTAAAAGGATCGAACGTCTGCAGCACTTTTGTTCCCGCACGCACTTCATCACTGCATATTCGTCAGCTCACTCCTCAACAGTTGAAAATTGGCATTGTTATTCCTTTGAGCCAACCAATCTACCTCGTGTTAGTGGTTCTTGAGTGTTTCAACTGCCGAACTACCTTAGCTCTCGGTTCCCCTCGGAGGTCATTCTCCAGGAAATATCTTTCCTGGTTATACATACACATCTGGAGCTTACGGTTAGACTCGTTGGTCAAGAGCAGAGGATCAAGTGACAGGTGTCTGAAGGTGAGCCAACATAAGTTGTCTTCCCTTATCTATTCTGTCCTGCTGCATTCAGTCTTCAGTCTTTTATTGTTGTTAACGATTTGTTTTCCCGAGAAGTTTATATCACAGTAACATGTCTGCCCAAAACGCTAGGTCCGAAGCTTTGACACGGATAACGCGGTCGTGTACAAAAGGGACTACAGCGCCCGGAACAAGTCTCTAGTCTGTGCCCACAAACAAACAGAAGTAGGGCAGAACACCGAACTTCTAAAGAAGTGGCCAACCCATGTTTCTAGAATTCCAGTAGCCATCAGGCAGGTGACACAGAGTAGCACTAGCCCGTCACAAACTAGTCCTATCTTGGACAAGGATCATACTTTCACGGATTTTTCACGACATCCGACAGTGGCTATGACTCTCAACCCAAGTCGGTCTCGACAGTATGCCGGCCAACAGCGTCAGTAGACTGCCAAGACCAGCGCATCTGAAGTCCATACCCAATCCCAGACTACTCGCCGTCCAGCTCGACTCATACGCCTCCCTCACAGGCGTCCTGCACGCATGGTATTGTGCGAAAGATCACATGGGCGGCTCAATACGACAACCACCAAGACGCCTGGAGTCAGTGGTCGTCATGCAGGCGCTGTCCAGTTAGATACGTCAAGTAAAGAAGCCCCCACCAAAGCTGAAAACAAAACACAAAAGAAGAAACGATGCCAGTCCCACGAGGACTTGCGACGCTAGACCCAACCATGTAAGCTCTCCCCTGCGAAAATACACAACCAGACCTCCCCTCTCACCAGGCACACTCTAATATGTATGTACAGCGACGTTAGGTGGCTAAGAGGGAAGGTAGCAGAAATGAGGACGCTGCGTGAACGTAAGCACTCCGACATCATATTCATCACCGAATCCTGGCTCTCGCCGGACATCCCCGGCATGGAACTCTTCCGCAGGGACAGGGAACACAGAGCAGGAGGGGGAGTGGCTCTCTACATAAACTCCCGTTTAAAGGCAATGGCGGTTAGCGATACGGCCTTAACCCAGCTCCCAGAATCTCTGTGGTGCTACTTCACTCTCCACTGCACCAAATACCTGCTCAAGGTCATATATCGGCCCCCCACCAGCTCCCCTACACATAAGGAAGTGGTCATCAAGGCGGTCTTAACGACTTCCTCTGCAAATTACGATTCCGTAGTCATTGCCGGTGACTCCAACATCCCTTCCATCCCCTTCGAGACGGAAAGGGGACACATCAGATCCTCTAATCAGAAGCTGAAGGATGCAGTTAAGACTGCTGGCTTCTCAGAGAAAGTGGGTGATGCCACACTCTGGGGACCTAACGGAAACGCATCGCGCCTTGACTACGTCCTGGCGAACGATGAACTTCCCATCGAGGGCGTTTGCATCCAACCTCCCCTTGGCCTCAGTGACCGCGCTGTAATCACCTTCGCCATGGTTACTAGGAGGGCTCTGCAACTGGAGACGCCCAACAGCTTCCCTTGCTACAGCAAGGCCGACTATGAGAACATGCGGGACTATCTCATGAATGCTTCATGGCCGGTAGAGTGGGCTCATCTCACAACAGATGAACACTGGTTGGAGGTGAAGAAAACAATCACTGGGGCCACCAGTCAGCGTGCCAGAAGTAACACACAGACAATCAGTGAGAACCTCATGGCTAAAGCGTGGGACAGGTAGGCTTATCCAGAGCAAGAAGCAGGCTTGGTTCGAGTGGCGTACATCACACAGGGAGCCTGACTTCTTGAACTACAAAAGGATTCGCAACCGCTGTAACATTAGAGTGCGTAACGACAGATTTTCCTATCAAACAAACTTGGTGGCGAAGTTACAAAACAATCCCAAAATCCCATACCGCTTCATGTCGAGAAGAAAGCTGACCAGTAAGGGAGTGAATCTTGTCACAGGCCATGACGGGAGTGTACTATGGAATTCTAAAGATTGCCAAGCTTTCGAGCCCACACTTCCAAGCCGAAATTAGCACTGACACAAGATCCACACCGACTCGCTACGACACCGACCAGGTCGTAAATAACGAATACCTCTGTCACATGTCAATCATAGAGAGAAAAGTGTTCGAGAAACTATCTAGGCTACGTCCAGGCAAGTCCCCTGGCGGCTATAACCTAAAACCAATGGTTCTGAAAAACTGCGCTGAGGTGCTTACTAAACCACTTCGCAACCTCTTTGAGCACTCAATAGACTCGTGCAAACTCCCTAAAGAATGGAAGAGCGCCATCTTGTCACCCATCTTCAAGGGAGGAGACAGAAAAAGCTCTTGCAGCTACAAGCCAATTGCTATACTCCCTACTGTGTCGAAAGTGTTGGAAAGCCTGGTAGCTGACACTATCTAAGAATTCCTCAGTAAGGGAAACACTGTTCATACTGCTCAGCATGGCTTTCGGAGTGGTCGCTCATGTGCCACCAACTTACTAACCGCCTGGGACGACTGGAAACAAAGCTGGGGTAACAGAAAGCCGGTGCATGTTGTATTTCTCGACCTAGCCAAAGCATTTGACAGCGTCCCACCCACAGTACTGCTTCACAGGATCATGTCAGCTAGTATAAGTGAACTCCCACTCTCTTGGTCCAAGGAGTACCTGGGAGGCAGTTTTATACCAACGTAAACAGAATAACTTCAGAGTGGAAGCCCTCGACGTCTGGAGTATCCCAAGGAGCAATCCTAGGGCTACTTCTGTTCCTCTTGTTTGTCAACGATCTGCCAGATAAAACATCCTCACCCATCCTCCTCCTCGCTGACGACATTAAAATTTGCAGGGTGGTGAACGAAGAAGCTGATTGTATAGCACTACAAAAGGACTTGCAGCAACTCGAGCTCTGGTCGTCGGAAAATGGCCTGAGCTTCAACCTGGAAAGGGCAAAGTAATGCACATCAGTAAAAATGAAGCAAGTACGATCGACTTTCAGTACATCTTAAGCAACCGTGCTATCACTAGAGTATCCATGGAGAAAGATTTGGGGCTCAATTCTCCGACATCTTGGACACCTTGAATTGTTTCATTTATACATTTTTACTATTTGTAATTTGTTTTCTTTAGTTAAATTTTCCTGTATTTCAACTCCTCCTCCGCCTACTTACTGTTCATTAACCTTGCTAATTTCTCAGATTGTTTTAATACTTCAATTGTAAACTACTATTGTAGATACGGGACGACAGAAGATCAAAATCTTCAGCAACATGGAGGAACAGCCAACCAAAAAAGGTGAAGACAATCGAAGAATACACACTTATCCGCTGTTGAAAGTGAGATTTTTCTTATTATTTAATTCTAGGATTCAGGTTGTGAATTCTACAAGAACGTCATATTCATAATTCTATTTTGCAGACGTTTACGTCTGCGGCGTTTATCTTGTTTCAACCTGCCATTTATTTATGCATTAACTAATAACATGTTAACTCATTGATTTGAAAACTGTAAAAAATCCATCAGAAAGGGTCTTAACACGGCTTGTAGGCTCATAAACGTAAAAAAGAAATTAAAGAATTGTTGAGTGTCTAATAGGATATATATATATATATATATATATATATAATTATGCGAAGAAATTTAATTTTTACTGTAAGTATGCTTTCTGTAAGCACTAATATTATATACCTGTTTATTTAATAGCTTGTAGGGGTGCGTGTTACAATTCCGTAACGTTTGATCAACCCTACTTAACTTGATGTGCTCTAGTGCCTGCTTAACCAGTACTTTACCTAACGTGTAAGTACCAATAACAGAACACAAATCAAAAGAACTGATATGCAATGTATTTGAAGGAGCTATGTGTTTAATTAAAGTAAATGTAATAATAATGAATGGGGGAAAAGTTTAATCAACTTATCTGGCTTGTAACGCTGAACTAGGGACTCGGAGTACGTGTATGGTAATCAGCACAATGGAGCGCAAAATGGCATCCAAGCCTGCTGGATGCATGTTCGTTAAAACAAAACTTAAAACACCCTAAGCATCCGGAGGCAAGCTGGAGATTTATTTAGTTAATTTAATTTAAACTATTTATTTTAGCTCTGGTTTTATTTTGGTGCCAGGAAGGTGCACTACAAACTTAATGAACCAAGCGAATAAATTTGATACCGTCACTCTCAAGTTAATCGTTTTGATCCTTTATGATCTAACGATGACTGTTGGAAGGCTTAAGTGAACTAAGAAACTGCTTAAAAGCTAAGATTGCTTGTCTAATAGAGATTTAATTCAGAAACTGACGAAAATACAGTAACCTATGTACTAAGATGTATCTGAGATAGAATAATTACAACTTGACTTTCGATTAATATTTAGTTAATCAATAGTGCTATGGAGGCTAGTTAATAGATATTCGGCCTCAGTTACAACCACTGCACTTCACAAGATGTGGGAGGCAACATTTCATCTTTAGGATTTGTCCTGGTGCGAACTTGACAGACGCAAAGACCAATCACTAATTATTCGGACTTGTTATATACCCACGAATACGAGACCAAGGAAGAACACAATAGCGTAGTCGGATGGAATAGTATATTTGGATGGTTGTGCCAAAATACCGATGCGTTCCAACTAACTGGCTAGAGAGTCGAATACGAGCAGTGCAACGTAACACGACAGCGTGCCAAATGGCCAGGATGCTTGACCGGGTGCCTTCAGCTTAGCGAGTCCAGTTAAACTATCAAGGTCAGCATCAATGTTGAAAGTCGTCAAACCCTAGGCTATTGATTTTGGGGAAGTGTGTGACGCCACAGTTCTATAAACCTTCAAATATATGTTGTAGACTTTGGGATCAAAATTTGACCTAATAGAAGTTGAACTATGCGTAAATGGTTTATAAGGGAAATATATTTGTAAAATCCTACTTAGGTGAAAACAAATAAAGTTCGGAACTTTCGTAAACATGCGGAAAGCCACTTCTTCAAAGGATAAAACCTAATGAAGCAGCCTTTACTAGGTCACGAAATGTAGTAACACATGCCTAGGTCTAAGGAATTTGTTCACCTTAATCAAAATACAAGCCAGGCACAGAAAAGTGGTTATGTAGTTTAACGGCATGTTATTATAAAAATATGAGTTACAAATAGGAGAGAAAAGACAACAGTTAAAAACAAATAAAGATGAGACTAGGACAGAGATGGCTCAAACATGTACAGAGTCACTGCCTACCTTGACGTGCCATACTAAGGGAAGTTGAACTAGGTTGGAAGAGGGTTAAATGTGACTGGATCAAGACCTGACACTAGTCGATGAAGTCCGTGATTGTTGGCCTGAGCTGTGTGTGGAGGTGTAAATTGCTTGGTTGAGGTCTCCGAGACGAAAGGAATCAGTCGTTGAAGAATCTTTAGTGACATGGCTGAAAATCGGTCACAATGGGACAGATGTATTCACTCCTTCACATCTTATAAAGCTTGAATATTTGTACTAGCTGTTATCTTCAGATTGTTTATTTTCTTATACAACTTTGTCTACCCCAATATCACTCTTTTCCTATCCATCTGTTTTTTTATGTCACTGTGAAGTGTGGTGACTTGAACCAATCCACTTGTGTGTGGAGTTCTACTTTGATTTTGTCAGTCAGTTTTACCGTTTTCAGGAAAGTTGCTTATTGTTAATTCAACATAAATTTACCAGGCGATAAGTTAATCTTAGAACTTGGTGATGTCCCTTTACATTAATTATGCTTCATCTCATTAAATCCGAGAGATTTATTTCATTCTAAGTAGATGTGTAGCGTCACACACTTCCCCAAAATCAATAGCCTAGGGTTTGACGACTTTCGACATTGATGCTGACCTTGATAGTTTAACTGGACTCGCTAAGCTGAAGGCACCCGGTCAAGCATCCTGGCCATTTGGCACGCTGTCGTGTTACGTTGCACTGCTCGTATTCGACTCTCTAGCCAGTTAGTTGGAACGCATCGGTATTTTGGCACAACCATCCAAATATACTATTCCATCCGACTACGCTATTGTGTTCTTCCTTGGTCTCGTATTCGTGGGTATATAACAAGTCCGAATAATTAGTGATTGGTCTTTGCGTCTGTCAAGTTCGCACCAGGACAAATTCCTTAAGAACAGTAATAATTTCAGTCAATTGTTTGACAATGACAAATCAGTATACGTCATGTTGTAATTATAAGCTTGGTGGTGGAATGCAGGATCCGCGTTTCATCGTGTTTCAAACTTGTCAGCTGGATCTACCTGCACCTAGAGAATGATGCTATCCCCTCTGAGACTCGGATCTAACATCCATCGTTTCAAATTCCAAAGTGTTATCCACAAGGTCACTGAAGCATGACAGTTGCCCTTATACACTCGGTATCAGCTACTATTACTTCATCTATTTTTTTTATCTCATTATTATTTCATGCTGTAGAAGTAAATGAAAACTGCTGTAAGTGAATTTCAAATATATTGACAATACAAAAATATTTGAAGACGCTACCTTAACAACTAATATGATATCAGCTTAGATACAACACAAGAACTTGTTAGACATAAACTTCAATAATTTTTCTTTCGGTTTTTTTTACTAACAATAGCATAGTGATATGAATGAAGATATGCTAACTGAAGTGATGGAACTATGTGTGACAGCATGTGAAAAGTTCTCAACTGATAATGAAGTGAGTCATAATTTTCAATTTTAACCGCCTTAATGCAAATCTTGGGATATGAAATGAAATGCAAAAATGAATCAACATATGAAGTTTTCTACAATTAGTTTCATCAATAAAACTAATTCGTACAAAAATGAATCTCCAAAATTTCATCAAATCTTACAAATAACTCGGATTACATGATGAAAACGATATTAGCTCATCTTATAATAATACGTTTTTGTACAAAATACCGGCATAAGCAAACTTTATTCCCCCCCCCCCGCCTCTCCACTAACGAAGACTTCAATGGCAATAAATATTTCTAGTAGATTTCATATTCAGATTTGTTGTTTGATGATAGAAGGCTGTGAGCCTATATTGATCCTTTTCCAGTAGATTTCTGTGCTTGTTCAGTCTCCTTTTGAACGACTCAGTTGATGATGTAGCCACCTCTTCTTCTGGGAGTCGGTTCCAGTTGACTAATCAACGCGACTATGTTCGTTGTTTATTTTTGTATCCTCGAACTATTTCCTCTGAGGTGTCGCAACGTACTAGGAGGGAAAAGAGAAGACAGATCAGGTCCAAACTCCTGTATAGCGTGATTAGATGTCCTCTCTGTCTACGATAGGATAAAGGGAAGAGGTTCAGCTGCTTAAGTCGTTCGTCATAGGTCAGGACAGCCATCGCACGAATCATACGAGTAACTACCCTCTGAACTCTTTCCAGAAGGTCTGCATCACCTTTCATACAAGGATTTGCCTCCCGTATATAGTTTTCTAATTTAGACCTAACTAAGGGTGTGTATAAGCTAGTGAACATATCACCAGTTGTTTTGGTAAAGGTCCTGTGCAATGCCCAAAGTGTCCTAAAACTTCGAGCTGCTACCGACCGACAGTCTGCCGTGGTTTTCAAATCATAACTCACTATGACTCCCAGGTCACTGTGGGTAAGTACCGTTAGTAGAGAAGTCCCGTCAATTTCGTAGGTGTTGCCATATGTGTACCCAAAGTGTATGCTCACACATTTACCTGCGTTGATAGACATCGGTCACTTCTCTGACCAGGTAAATAAGCTGTTTAAGTCTGTTTGAAGTGCACGTATATCCTCATCATTCCTAATTTCCCGCCAGGTTTTTACATTATTAGCGTGATATTTGGTGACGCATTCACGAATAAAAGAAATAGCAAGTGACCCAGAACTGTACCTTGTGGCACTCCACTCTCTACCGACTTCCGAGAGGATAGCTGAGGACTGATCCTTACTCTTTGTCTCCCACCAACGAGGAACTCTCTTATCCATGCAAGCAGACTCCCAGTGATTCCAAAACTTTCCGGTTTAACGAACAACTTGGAATCAGGTACCTTGTCGAACGCCTTATTAAAGTCTATGAAAATGATATCTACAAGTATACTATCACCTTTAGACTTAACCCAAATTTCTCTGACTGTATGGGGTTGTGAATGCCTATTATTACAGGTACACACTATCAGACGACTTTATTATAACGATCACTAACACTAAATTTTAGGACATACATGCACTAAAGCCATTCACTTTCATACACGTACATTCTGATGGATTGAAGAGATCAAAAGCTAACAATCGTCTAGCCTATAAATAACATTGTCACTTCAATATTTGAACGTTTCTTATAGATTTTTCATGACAGACGAAAGATCAAAGAAAAGTCTTGAAAATGAATGTATGAATAACTGAAGTGCTGCTGGAATTATGAGACAGTAGCACTCCTCGGTTGTCCTTATCCAAAAAAACTGATTGCTCTTGGGGTACTCAAAAACAAATTTGACTAGTTACACAAATCTTCTAGACCTGTGGATATAACAACCGAACACAAAAGATACCTCGAAAGAAAAAACACTGAGCAACTACATCCACGTTAGTGCACTAGACAATGAGCCACGCCGATTGTGTGAGGGCTTATAGTACTAACTGTCTGCGGTGTTCAAATCCACGACCCATTTGGTTGAAAGTCAACTACCTAAGCAAATGAGCTGCAGCTCCACATAAAGGACATCTACCTGAGGACGATTAGATATGGTTCTTCAGCTGGATCTGTACTTCAAAATATCTTAACAGTGGGACTTGGTCAGGCAAGGAGGTGAATTGCTCTTAGTACTATTTCTTTAGCTTTCCCTTTTGAAAGGAGCATCACTAAAGCTGCTGATTGTCTTTGCCAAACATTTTGTTGATATTCGTCTCAAAACAACTTCAGCCGCTACTTCACTCTCAAACCTGAGTTTAAACACTTTTATTCTCATCCCTGTCCAAACTACTCTCTCACATAGGAAGACTGCATAAAACAATTATTTTGATCAATGTAACTAGGATAGATCATTACGATAAGCAATTAAAACAAATTTAATAAAGTTAAAGCTGTAGTTAAGGCATAAGCAACTTGCCTATAGCATGTTATAATTTGGAGCAATAATTTCTTGGTTAGAAATGTCACCCTCCTTATAAAAGTACTATTAACTAAGACACTCGACCTACATTTTCTAACTAGCCTTTATATGCCAGTGTATAATTCTAATTAGCCACATAAATCAAACAAAATTTGATAGACCTTCCAATCAGAAAATAGAATATCTGTAACCCAACAACAACATTCAAGTTCACTCAATGGACACATATTACTCAAGTGTTAATGATACTACATAACAGGGATTAATAGATGGAGCGAAGTTCAAGCTCCTAACTTATTAGTCGAAATTCAAATATCAAATAAAACCAATGAAACTACATTTACATGAAACCAGATACTAGTTAAACCACTCTAAACTATTTCAAAATATACCTTCTGCATCTAGCAATGCATAGAAGTAAGAAGTAGTCAATGTTGTAACTTTAGCTAGTTGTCATAATTACATGATCTTGCTGAATCAGCCTTAAAGCTGACCTTGTAAGTGATTGGTTTCGAATATACCTATCAAGTTTCGTATTACATTCAATCCACCTACACGATGAGTCACGAGATTCGACACTCCCAATCACCTAGATCACAGTCTCATGCTTATTGTCTGTTTACTTCAGTCAGTCTGATTCATCCCTTATGTGCAACTAATTGGCCCGATCATAATCTACAGTCATTTATAAAAATGAAACAACCAATTTAAAGTGTAATAAAAGGGATAATTCACAATAATGGATTTCACTCAACATGCCATTATTTCTAAACTATAAATGATAGATAAATGGATAAAGGGTTGATCAAGAGCTCTTAAACGCATCTACATAATAATGTTACCAATATAACAGTTAGGTATGCTTGAAACGTTATAAGTTTACCTTTATTTATAAGTTACATGTTAGAATTTACAATCCTTCTAACTCAATAATAAGAAGTTTACTTCATCATTTACAATTTTTTCCATAATATGTACATTCTTCTTCATCACTAGTACAACTGAAATTCTTATACTTTCTATTCGTTCAAATGTCTAGGCTGCTTCACGTTTTGTAAAAGAAACAATGGATAAAAAGTTTGGTGCAGCATGGCAGGTGGCTATTGGTGAAAGTTTCGGTTTCGAAATAACTTATGATATCAAAAGTATTCTATACATGCTATGTGGTGGAAATTTAGGCATAATTGTCTGGAAATGCTCTTGATAACTGTAACTACCATCATAACATGTAGTCATGGCATAACACAGGTAGAATGTACATACACACACACACAAAATGAGAAAGCATTTTTCAACACTTCAACATTTTTCACCTGTACTATTTCCACTTACTTTTCGTAATAGTCTAAATTTTGAAGAAATTAAACAGATCATTATGGTGACCAACTGTCAAAAGATATTACTTTTTGATTTGTAACCTTTAAATAACAAAATGCATTGGAAACATTTGTTTCCCGATACAAATTTAAAACAAGAAACAAATGTGAAAAAAGCAGGATTTTGTGAGTTGTTTGGTGAATTCATAGATTTCATCAGTACTCGTCAGCTGCATGCTGTACATGCTTGATTAAATATACCGTTAAACAATGCAAAAGAACATGCATACATATATGACGTAGAGTGAGATAGATTTAGGTGTAACGACATAGGAATGAACAGTTTTTTGAAAGTCAAGGGGTAATGCAGAGGGTAGAAATGGACGTTCACAATTGGATGGGTTGGGGACAGGTTACATGATTAACTGGAGTTTAGACAATAGTGGATTTCAGATTGGAAAATAATGGCATTAACAATAATAATGTTGACACAGGGATGAGAACTGAATCGACTGAGCGCAGATGACGTCATTCGATACTTGGTAGTACTTATGTAGACATAATAAGGGAACCAGGTGCTGAAGCCCAGTTTGAAACCTTATATGACCAACTCACGAGACTTCATGCTGCTTTAAACGACAGTGAAAGTTGGTTCAAATCTAAGATGGTAGATATTACATAACATTTTCAAACAACGTCTTCTAGCCAAAAAGGGTTTATTTCTAAAGAAGATTGGGGATCCCTACGTGAACTTCTAGAGAACAAGGATGTCATTATTCTGAGTTCTGATAAGGGACAATGTGTAATTCTTATAAGCAAAACAGATTATGTTACTAATATGCATGAAATTCTGTCTGACAACTCGATATTTAAATTGGATAGTAATGCTGAAGATCAAACATCATGTATTGAAATGCAGATGGTACAGCAACTAAACCAGTTCCTCAAGGTTAACTACACAGATGGAACTACATTTAAAAACACTAAACCAATTGGATCACAGATTCCAAAGTAATGTGACGTGCGAAAATACATAAGCCAGATGTGCCTTTATGTTTATATCATCAATGATAAATTCACCCTGTCACAAAGTAGCTCAGTCGTTATGCGGAATTCTCGAACCATTGTGCAAACGTCTGGGAGAACACACTGTTACTGACACCTTCGAATTTGTTCGAAGCATCACCAATTTCAATAGCACTGGTGAGCATCTTGTTTCATTTGATACTGAATCTCTTCTCACAAATGTACCAGTTGATGAAACCATTGAGTTTGTTTTTCGAGAAGCTATTAATATCCCGATCCCAACAAACGAGTTGAGGAAGCTTCTAAATCTATGCATCAAGAACATTCAGTTCAACGGACAGTTATTCCGCCAAACTGGAGGAGTCACAATGGGAAGCCCTCTGGGTCCCTTTTCAGCTGATTTGTTTCTAGCAAGTTTGGGAAATAGTAGCTGGAAGCGCTTCATAGATGAGACGGAACTGTATCAGCGTTACATGGACAACATATTCATCCTATGTAATAACGAAATGGAGGCGGAAGCATTGCTAAAGAGCTTCAATTCATGTCACCCTGAGCCTGACCTTTACTATTGAGCACGAGGAAAATAACATGACTAGTCTCTTAGATGTCTCATTCGTGAAAAGAAGTGATGGACCTGTCAAAGTGTCCATCTATAGAAAACCTTGATGGGCAGAACAGTACCTTCATTTTAGGAGCTTCGTCTCGGCCCAATACAAAGTGAATGTAGTCAGAGCCAGAAAAATTTGTTCCTATAGCACACAAGACTACGAAATGATGGCTTTGAAAGACATGCCAGTGAAGAATGGCTACCCAGAAAGTTTTATCAGCAAGGACGCAAAATGGGTAGGAAGCAGAACAACGTCCCTAACAGCGCGGAAGAAACTAGTCTATATCACTCTGCCATTCAAAGGTGACGACGTACTAGAAGTAGTTAGACGAAGGCTGGAGAAGTCTGCTAGAAGGACTTATTACACTGCTAAACTCATTCTCCTTAGCACCACCAAAAGGGTACTCCAACAATCAGGGAAAGACAGGGCTCCGATCCTTGATACATATAAATGCATATATCGATCCAGGTGTATCTGCGGAAGCAAATACATTGGTCGTACGGAGAGGTGCCTGTCTACCCGAATGGTTGAGCACCTATCCAAATGGTTGGAGCATGCTGAGAAGACCATAAGGAGCTTGATAACAAAACACCTAATGGATTATGGACATGGTATTGATACTTGTGAGTCTTTGACGGTTATCAGTAGACAGTAAAGTAAGAAATTGCTTGGAATTGCAAAAGCCCGTGCGATTCGAGCTGTTAGAAGGGAACGGTAGTCAGCTTGAATCTATTATAGTAGGAATTATAACGTCATCTAATCATATTCAATCTTTTTTACTTGATCTTCGCTCTTAATTATCACCCATCCTACATTTTGTTCTCCTCCCTTGATTTGTTTCGCCTAATTAACCTTATTCCTATTACCATTGTTATCATTATTAATCATCTCAAAATACACCTGGTTTTCTTATTATGTACTATTAAGTATCTTGTTTTGAATGACGTCATCTAAACTTGATCGACTCATTCCTCACCCCTGTTTCAATATGTAACCTGTCCCCAACCCATCCAATTGTGAACGTCCATTTCTACCCTCTGCATTACCCCTTGACTTTCAAAAAACTGTTCATTCCTATGTCGTTACACCTAAATCTATCTCACTCTACGTCATATATGTATGCATGTTCTTTTGCATTGTTTAACGGTATATTTAATCAAGCATGTACAGCATGCAGCTGACGAGTACTGATGAAATCTATGAATTCACCAAACAACTCACAAAATCCTGCTTTTTTCACATTCGTTTCTTGTTTTAAACAAAATATATGTTGAATCTTTGATATTTTTCTAACTAGACATTTGACTACTTATGTTGAAAACATTCCCAACCCGTTTTTCATTACTTTTAGACATATCTGTTGTTAGTAATTACATTCTAACGTTTACAAACAAAAAGATGGGAGATTTTTTTGATGAATTATACAGTCTTAAGCCATTAATAAGGAAAGATTTCAAGTTGGTATTCACACTGAACCGACACCAATTAGAGGACCATTGAAAACCTAGGAATATCAGCCAACTGTTTCGCACTCACGTGGGGTTCCTCAGCAGAAGGAACCAATGACCCCTCCGGGGATAGAACCCAAGACCTTCAGGTTCTGCAACCAGCACGTTATCACTTAACTGCTAGGTCGGAATTCAATGGTCCACATTCTCCTACTCCTGTCACTTCGCTATCGAGAGTGGCCTGAATCCAATACCGTCTTGCGTGAAACTGTCCTCAAGTTCAAGTTGGTTTGCATCGCCGATGATGACTTCTCATCAAACCTTCAGGAATCTCATCTCGAAACAAGTCGATGATCAGTACTAGACAGTAATTCAGTTTCCAGGTTAATGGAAATTTATTGCTTGGTTTCAGGTTAGTATTCATTACAGATTGACTGAAAATCAGAGTATCATAAAAACAAACCACTGTAACTGAAACACCAGTACAATAAGTAACACGTTAACAAAATGCAGAACTGTAATAAGTTGTTTACTACTTATAGTAAAACTCGCAGTTATGTAATCATTCGGTGAACCCATAGTGGCATAAGTGGTCTATATTGCATGGCACCGGCGGGATATACGACTATCTATAAAAGGACGAGTATACTGCGCTGCAGTCCGTTCCGTCTCGGTATACGGCTGTGGGACATCGGAGTTAAAAGTAGAAGGCAAGAAGCGGTTACTGGAGTTTCGTTCACGGATGTCTTCGTAGATTGCTCGCGGGTGGCGGAATCACCATGTGAGCAATGTTGAGTTCCTCCGAAAGGTACTAGGCAAAAAAGCCAAGTCGATTGATGAGGTCGTGAATCTTTAGCGACTGAGATGGCTCGAACATGTACTGTGAATGCAGAGACATTGCCTACCTCGACCTCCCAAAGTACGGGAAGTTGGACTAGGTTGGAAAAGGTTTCAGTCTGACAAGATCAAGACCTGGCACTAATCGATGAAGTCCCTGATTGTTGGCTTGGGAAGTGTGGGTAGGTGTAAACTGCTTGACTGATATCTCCGAGAAGAAAGGAATCAGTAGTTGAGGAGGACCATAACACTAATTATAAAATAGGGTGATGTAGTCTGTCAAATGGAACAATTAGTTTAAGAACAAGATCTTGTGATCAGAAGAAAGAAATGAACGTTTCGTTCAAAATGTTATTGAAATATCATCATCATGAGAGATTCATCAGAAATAATATAAAGAAAAAGGAAAGACAAAGTAAAAGGGCTAGGGAGGATGATGAGCATAAAAAGACTTTAGTACTGACCACAGGGACACAAAAATACTAGGATTTTGAAAAAACGTTCATCAGTAGCGGTCCAAGCGTGTCATGCAAAACTTGTCATCGAGTTGGACACTAAATGCATTTTAAAATCAAATATTGACCAAAGAAAAGAGAGATTCATATTCATAAATATCACCCTTAACATACGCAACACAGGTGACAGTTGTCAACAACATAGAACACACTTCTGGGTAAAAAGTGTAAAAAACGAGGACGCTTTATGATATGATAGTTTTAATCACTTATCAACACACATAATAATAGGGATTCCAACGACTAATACTGGAAAACATATTACGAAGTTCCAAATTCCATATCGGACTTACGCCGTCCACACTCCCACTTGAGTAATGTGCCATTCAAATTTTACTGACACAAAAGCTATTCAGATCTTAATGATAATAATAATTTACTTTATTCCAAACAATTTGTGGTACAATTTGGGATTCTCAGAGTAATATATATTGCGATAACAACAAAATATAAGTATATACATACTCCTTTGCAACCTTTCGAATTGTTTAATTATGAAAATTTAAGTTATGTGAAGAATATTGAAAACGAGAAAATTTTGCATTGTAAGTTGTATTATTGAAATGAGATTTTTAACTGTTGCAAAGTTCATGTGTGACTTCTGTTCTAACACTTTTTTCCTCACAAAATATGCGTACAAGGTAAGGTACAGTCGAATTCTTATACTTAAATACACGAGCATACAGTCTTATGTAGTTTCTCCTTGTCCTCCCTGAGAGATACATGAAGAGAGCTGTAAATGAAGTGGATGCTCACTGTCAGTTAAAATTTCTATAGCAAGTAACTTGCAGGAATTTATATGTCGATCAACTACAGTGTTAATCAATTGGGCCAGAGACACCACTCACCCTGCTGACGGCCTTCAAAGCCCTACGCAACATAACATAGTCCTTTTAAAGAAGACCAGGAAAGATTAATGGGAGCAACAGAGACGAGGAATAGGTAAAATGCAGGAATTAATAAGTTGTAAAAGAAGCAGTTGAGTTATACCAGAAAGCTTCAATTTCTTTACTTAATAAGTTAAACGAAAGATTTTCTTTTAAGTCAATAAAATATGGGACGACCAACAAAGGTCAGAAGTAAAACGCAACCCAAGATAGTTCACACTCGATTTACTTTCTGCAGAAATACCATTGATACAGCAGGCGTCATGAGATTCAAGCAGCTCACATAAGTCTTCTTTACGCCTGGGGCTAAAATTAATAGTCAGACATTTAGAGGGGTTTAGTTTCAGACCATTTGCCAACTTCAGACAAGAATTCATTTAATTTCGAGCAATCTAAAAAAGAGTTTACTGCAGTAGAAATCGTCAGCATACTTGATAAAACTAGTTCCAACAGAATAAGGCAAATCGCGCAAAAAAACGAAAACAGAAAAGGAGGAAGTACAGCGCCTTGAGGCATACCACATTCTGAAATATTTGTAAATTAATCATACACGCCACCCTACAGCAGGTAGATTACCGTGGTATATCCCCTTAGCAATTACGACTACAAATAGTAATAAGTTGGCTGAATCGATTGTTCCTACCATCCCAAAAGCGTCTACTGGATAGTGATAACACAAAATCCATTTGCCGTCATTATCTAAATACCAACGCTATGATGTACGTTCGAGGGCGAACTCATAATGATATCTCAATCCACTGTGACAGTAGTAAGGCGTCTCTCTCATAGACAACCAACACAACTATCCTCATACTACTTTCTCTAGGCGAAACACGACCACTTCCGAACGTTCACCGGAAAAGGAGAAAACTCCATCCTACTTTCCAATCATCAAAAGCTGCAGGTAATATAAACATCTCCTTGACCGGCGTTAGCACAATCACATATCAATCCAAAAATCCTACAACGTTTGTATGTAGCAGGCCTCAAACACATGTCTCATGGGCTCCACGATAACTTAAAAATGCTCCTTGTTCGCTTCCTCCTACATTATACAAACAATATCCATCATGTCCGCAGCTCACAAGTACTAACCAACCGCACACTCACAGCACCACACTAAAGCAATTCAACCACAACCTAACCTCCCTACCTTTATCTCCTCCCTTCTCTTCACTTCACTTCATCTCACGACACCAGATTTACACTCTCTACAACAGTCTCAATCTCTCATCCCGAAATCATTGAAAATCATACAACCCAGTCAACCACCATTCCTATTCGCTTAAGACAAACTTACCAATGACATATTGGAGTTCCCAGCGTTAGAAACCTATCCCAAATCCGACAACACGCCACCAACCTCCCAAAAACACCAACTCCCGTTACCATAATACGAAGGAGGAATTCTATCAAAACATAGCAGTTTTGCTACACAAGAAAAATGCTCACATACAGTCATAACAAAACACCACTTCAACGCTCAAACATCGAAGATAGCTAATCAGAAAGGTAAATTTAAAATATCTATGGTATCTCATGCCGACCAACCAACAATAGTCATCGTCTCATCAAATCTCACTCACACAATCACTCTTTCCCACCCAGCAGCAAACTCAAACAAAAGGAGAGAAACTGCTTCATTTGGCGTCCCGCAACAACCAACCAACCAACCATCAACACACATGCATCACATTACTATAACCCATTGTTCAACGGGATAAGTACAGCATCATACGTCTTTCTACGTGCCTGCTTCCACTCCCATCATAACCCACTACATACACGTGTAACTTTCCACCTCACTGGCCACAGAAAACAGGCAAAAGTGAAAGCTGTGTCTTCTCAACTCGACAACAACAACAACAACACCAAATACGTATTCCTGGAGCAATTAGCGAAGCAGTTATCGGAACATTGTAGCAACTCTCACAACCATAAAGCCTAGTATAATACTCAGTCTCCTGCAGAAACACTAACAGTGACAACTCGTATCCTACCTACATACAAAGGTTACAGAAACCCAGTCGCTCTCCACAACCTCACCTAAAATGATTCATGCAACAACACTCCTCTCCTCCTACCTGCCTCAGACCACAATGAAGAGCGAAAGCAAGTTAAAAGTATGTTGACTAAGAGTCATCGCAATCATCGACAGCAATGGTGGGTGGCCAAAGCCAAAGACATGGAGAAAACACTGTCGTGTCATGTCGTGTCTTATGAAGCCCCTGACCACACCTCCACTTCATACACTTACACAACTATCTTTCAATCACTCCACCACGGGTCCCATCTCTACTACACATAACTACATCTGGGTAGTCAGTTGTTATGACTGACCTGACCCTAATGCAACACATCCAGCTCACTGCCTACTCCACCACCCTTAACGTAGTTGCTCAGTCCACTTCCACTCTCATCGAACAACTTCAACAGAAATCTCAGCATCTTCAGCATCAGTTCAGCACCTGTCATACACTTGTATGATGATCCTTCAACACTGCTTTCCAGCTACTCCCACTTCAACAAGTAGTAGAGTGCGTTGACCACTTCACTTACTTGGCCAGTCACATCACCCTAAACGACTTGGTCACTGAAGAAATCTCACCTCAGATACAAAAGGCATGTTAGAAATTCCCCTACTCATATCATATTTGGTCCCAGCGAAATATCCAACTAACAATCAAAAGATGAGTATATCGCACTGCTCTTCGCTCTGTCCTATTATACAGCTGTGAGACATGGCCATCGAAGATAGAAGAGAGAAAGAGATTACAGGTTTTTGACCATACGTGTCTTCCCAGCGATGCTCATGTATGGTGAGTGGAATCACCGTGTGAGCAATGTCGAGGCAAACAGAGAGTACTAGGCTAGAAAGTCGATGAAATTGTGAACCTTCACTTACACATGACTCGGACATGTGCTCGGCTTGCCCAGCTACCGCGTAGTTTGGAGTGTGTTGTTAACCAAAGTAAGAATGGGTTAGAAGAAGACTGAAGGTGACGAGACCAAGAAGTGCCATCAGACCTACAGTCTAAGACTGAAGGTCTAGGCCGTGTAGGAGATATAGCTTGTTTTGTTGGGGTCCTCTAATTAAAAAGACCAGTGGTTATCGACTTTTGATGACACTTTGTAAAATCGGTCAAAATGGCGCAGATACATTCGCTCTCTGACGTCTAATAATGTTTGAAAATTCTTATAAGCCTTGATTTTTAAAACCCCTTCTCTTCCCATACATTCACTTTTGCCTACTTTGATATCACTCTTTTTCTACCCATTTGTTCTTAGCATGCTGCTGTGAAGTGTGGCAACTTGAACAGATGCCTTACTGTGTGACGTTCTACGTTGATTCTATCCAAGCATCACAAACGTCATTCTTAGCAACACGTATTCAATTAGATACACAATTGTAAACAGATAAATTTTATCTATGCAGTAATAGCTCCAACAGGCTACAAAACTGAAACCTATGACACGAGATTTGAAAAGGTGAAATCCTAAACACTACTGGTAGCATTTCTTTATACAGACCATAAACAAAACACTAATGTCGTAGCCTTCAGAAATAAGCAAATCGATACTAGCTTCTTTGATAATCATACAAGATAACAGGTACTTCAATTCGACAGTGTGTAGACATGCTTTTCCGATCAACACAAGTAGATGAAGTTGAATCCAACCTCTTCTACCTACTAGCACTTAACCAGCTATAAAATATCGGACAAAAAGTAGTTGGCAAGTTACAAAAAACTAGTCCAAACTAAACATTACGTTTCTGTGTGGTGGAGTAAATGAAAAAACAATGAAGCTTAGAATACTGCAAGTAACTGCATACTTATAATCAACATTTGTTTGTAGAAACAGTCAAAATTCTCACCAAACGTTTATACAAAACCTAAAAGTAAATACAATACAAGAATACTGTACCCTAACATAAATTGTTGGATAAGCATCATGTTTTGCTCAAACATAAAAACTGTGTATTAGTAATGCAGTTTTGAAACAACATGTAAAACCAGCAGAATGAGACAGGCTATCGAATAGGTGACTTTATAAAATACTCACCAGGGCAAATAAATACCTACGAATTACTTTAACCTATGTGAATGTGCATAAATATGTTATTGGACTGTTAAAAGATGAAAAGTGGCAGTGGCGGTAAGCGCATTAACTAAGCATGTGTTTATATGAAGTAATTGCGTGTAAATTTCATTTGAATTGAAGTAAGAAATTCCTTTCAGTACTTTATTTGGTATTGAAAATCTTTTCATTGTACATATATGCAAAAGCGAGCCAACTTCTCTTCACAACATTCACCACCTATTATTGAACAGTCAATCACAGGGATCTGAACAATTAAATAAGCCATAAGTAAGAATATTGTTGATAATGAAGACTGTTTCATGACATATAATGAAATATTGAGTCAGCATCATCCCTTGTCGACTGTAAATACGAACAACAAAACAAGCAAGACAGAAAAAACATGGAAAGTGAAAGTTAATTTTACTGTAATAAAATAACAATGTAAATATTTGACATCACAAAAATTCTCAACTGCTTAAGGGTCTTATTTTGGAAATATTTTTAGGAACAAAAATGATATGAATAAGGAAACAATGCACAAGTATCCAATATTTGTACATTGGATTTTCCAGGTTGACAGACAAATTAACTTTGCACACAAGCCCATTAGTTCAAATTGCTATAAATCATAGTGATGCTATAAAAAGATGAAGTCAAAAGACAGAAAATAATATTGCAGCAGACAAAAGGTAGGCATAGAAAGTAAACAAAGATACAAAGGTTAGTAAAACGATGAAAACTTCAGAACTAACAAAGTATATACATCTATGCCAGTGTAACTGATTTTTGAACAATATCACCCAGAGTCTTCAACCATTGAATTTTATCATCTCGATTATACCAATCAGTTACCCAACTCTTATTTACACAGCTCAAACCAATAGTCACAAACTTCATGGATGAATGCCGTCTTCATTTGGTTAACTACTAATCCTATTTCGGCTAACATCCTATAACGTGGATCACGGCTCGGCATGCGCAAAATACGCTGGATTGACTCCAGGTTTGTAGTTTTATCGACTGACCTCTTTTCCTGGCTTGTCCCTTTCTCTACACGTTTAACCTCGAAAAAGATCATGTGATGATTTTACCACATACGAGCAATGGCTCCGAGGAAAATTATGATAAGAAACCTGCGACCTACCATGTCTTCAACTTTTAACTGACATGTTTCATAGCCGTACAATGAGAGACAGAGAGCTACAATGCGACATATTCAACTTCTGATGGCTGGTAGATAGGTATCTTACTACCGTCAAATGTGGTCCCAGCTGGAAAATGTCGAACGAGCCTTCCGTACTCCAGCTGACATTTCGTCACTAATCACCTGTTTAGTCCTAGTATGGGACTCAGCAGTGCGCATACATGACCCCCCCTCCCTCCCCCAGAGATTGAACCCAGTACCTTCGGTTTCCGTGGCCAGCACGTTACCATTAAGTCACTCAGTCGGAATCCAATGGTCCATATCTCCAATTTCTATCAGTTAACGACATAGCGCAACCATCACCCAATGTCATCGTTGGGTAGTTGTCCTCATGTCCACCAGGTCTGCCCCACAAAATATAATGAAAAGTCAACAGACCTACTCCGAGAAAGAACAACATACGGGAAACTAGAATTCAACACAAAAAACTAAACAATAAAATAGAGAAAAATTTAGACAAACTTTCCGGAGAAGGATAAATTAGCAAGGTAGATAAGTGAACAATAAGCTCAAACGGATCCATACGTGCACGATCCTATGAGAGGTCGAAGATCTATATCTGTTCCACTGTTTCCCTTCTAGGAACTGAGACATACAATTTATCAAAATAATTAGCCGAAAAACTGAAATATCTTATCAATAAATTAATCGACTCAATCAACTCAGTAATTCAATTCTTAGACAAAACCAAAGATGAAATTTCGGCTTCAAGAGGCTATTGGTTCGAATCCTGCCGCAACCCAGATTTCCACTTTGCTTTCAATCGCTATTCAGTATCAATAACACAAGTCTACCAAACCACGGCTATCTCAGATAGTCAAACTGAAAACCAATGATATCAGAATATGTGAAGATGAAACAATGATCTCTTTCGAAGTTGAAGTCTCCTAACACCGATATATAACAAGCTTAGAACATAAACTATTCTAAGTAGGCCTCAACATGACGATGATCTAAAGCTCATAAAGGTATCGAAATATCAGAATTGATAGATCTAACAACAGATTTCTGCTAATCTAACTACATACGATAATAACAAAATAATACCATAAAAATAAATAGTATAAGATAGGGTTCATGATGATATACTTCGGAGTTAAAATTATACTTTATACCAAATAAATTATCGAAATGGAAGATATTAATCTGGTATACACTGACCTTGACAATAAGTTTCTGACGAGCCAGTGCCATTCGAACTATCATTAAATGTGTGCGATTTTTGTACTCATCTACCAGGTGTAAAGCTCGAGCAAATGTCAAACAACGCTGATCTACATCCAGCACTCGAAGGAGCTTCATATCAATTAGTCAAAGATAGAAGTAAAAACTATGTGATTACTATCAAATCATAGATGTATAGTGAGCTAAGCGAACAGCAGATATACAAGGAACTTACTGGTATATATATATATATATATATATATATATATATATATATATATATATTTATTATATTATTATTAGTCCCTTGGGTTCCTAGTGGAACATAGGGCTTCAGTAGCACGCCTCCAGTGACCTCTGTTCTCTGAGATCTTTTGAACCTGGTTCCACGACAGCCCAGAAGCTCTCATTTCCTCCTCGCATGACCTCCTCCATGTCACCCTCGGACGTCCAACTCGTCGCTTCCCATGGGGATTCCACTCGAGGGCCTGACGCGTGATGTCCTCAGTCGGCCTTCTCAGTGCATGGCCAATCCATCTCCACTTCTTCCTGCATATTTGTTGCGTGATAGGTTCTTGGTTGGTTCGTTCCCAGAGTTCCTTGTTGCTTATTTTTTCTGGCCATCTGATCTTCAGCAGCGCAGCGTAAGCAGTTGTTGATGAATGTCTGTAGTTTATTGGAAATGCCTTTCGTGACGCGCCAAGTCTCTGAGCCATACAAGAGCACTGACTTGACGTTGGTGTTGAAAATCCGTATCTTGTTCCACATGCTGAGTGCAGAAGATCTCCACACTGGTTTCAGGCTAATGAACGCCTGTCTTGCTTTTCCGATTCTGACTTTGACGTCCTCGTCCGTCCCGCCTGTAGTTGAAACAGTGCTTCCTAGATAAGTGAAGGAGGTTACTTCCTTCAAGTTTCTCCCGTTGACGGTGATTGGAGTTTGTTGTTGTTGTTGATGTTGTTGGTGCGGTATCTTCATCACTTCTGTCTTCTCTATATTCACCTGAAGTCCCGTCTTAGCTGCCTCTTCTGTCAACTTGTTAGTTTTTGCCTGCAGATCTTCAAGTTTATGTGACATTAGGCATAAGTCATCGGCGAAATCCAAGTCTTCTAGGTTCTTTTCCGTCGTCCAGTGTATCCCCCTCTTCTCGCTGCCTACTGTTTGCTGCATGATCCAGTCCACCACAATAAGGAATATCATGGGGGATAGTAGGCAACCTTGTTTCACTCCTGTCTTCACTTCAAAGGCATCACTGAGCTTCCCATTGTGGATTACTTGGCATGTGGCATCTTCATATAGTTGTTGAATGAGGCGGATAAAGGTTTGCGGTACTCCGTAGTATTGAAGCAGTTTCCAAATTACTTCTCTACTTTACAATGGAAACTAATCATATCAACCTTTTATTTATCTTTAACTAGCAAATTACTAGTCAAATACCTCTAGGTTGACTTTGTCTGTCTGTCTATCTCGAACACTTAACAATGACTTTGGATAATGGTCACACTAAATCCCGAATCAAAAAATTTTGGAAATGTGGATGATTGGGTTGCAACTCAATAGTTGAACGACTACATGCTCAGCACGGAAATTAATGGTCCTCAGTTCGAGTCAGTAACACAGACATCATCCATAGAGTTTAAGGTAGAAGTGAACTTTCGACTCAAATCGCTGAAATATGTTACATATCCCTAGTTACCATCTACTCCGTCGCACGATGTAAACTGAATTAGGTTCAGGGTGAAGAAAGGTGGAAGGCAATCCGACTATAACATAGTATCACTCCATAAATCTCTGGCCATTGATCTAAACTGTGCAGAGAAATGAAGACCATTTTATTTGATTTATTATATGCATCACACAGTTGAACAGTATTATTTACTGAATTACACTTCGGACACAATTTACTGTCCACAGTCGTATCAAGATAACTCCACAACTTTAAGACAGTTTATAGTCTCAAATTTGTGGAGTTTTCTCGATATGACTATGGATAATAAATTGTGACCAAGACGTAATCTAGTAAACAATACTGTTTCACTGTGTGACACATCTAAAGTGAAATTACATTCTGCCTCAGTTTTACTCTTACAAATGTAGACTACAGTTAGGGTCCAGAATACAACTGGAATTGTTGGACTCTATATGGTATGGCTCAGAATCGATCTCAATAGTACACATGAATTCACATATTATCCTCATCTTAACTATGATACCGAAGATGGCTGTTGTTTTATTTCTCTTTCCTATCTTTCTATAACTTTTTACTGCTGTTGGTTAGTTTTGCCTTAATTCGCCACCTTTCAGTTTGCTGTAACAACTTGAACCGTTTCTTAGTCATGCCAGATCCCATGTTGATAATGATTGACTGACTGTAGAGAATGAAATAGTCATTCAGTAGTCTCCCGCTTATAATGATTCGCTAGTTGATGTTAACTCATGAAAACTGTTAAGCAGTCGAATATGAACTGCTTCTAGATAACTTAAACAGAGTAACGAGCTTGCAAATGATTCATTAACTTTTTGGTAGTATACATAGAACAAACATTTCGTTTTACTCCAGAGAGGTGCAAATGAATGCAAATTTTTATTACGACTGGTAAGTAGATAGAATTCAAACAAAGTAAATCAGTGAAGTAAATTTTCGACCTACTAAACCTGAATGTAGTACTTCAATGTGAGAATATGCCTCATTTATTTTTTTTTTGTTGCTTATTTAAAAAATAAACTCGATACAACATGAGTAACAAAAGACGCATCACATGAAATAATGTGATAACATCAAAAAGACGTAAAGACGATAAGGTAAGAAAAAAATAGAAATGGCTAATTAGAGAACCAATTTCAATTATACATTCCGAGAAGCATTCACTGGGTTCTTTTCCCTTCCAGTAATAGAAGAAACAAGGGAGCTACAGCATGAAACCATCTATCTCGAGCCTGAGTCATTTCTGTCATCGTTTCAAACCACTGAATTGTATGGTCTCTCAGAACTCAGCCAGGGAGTCATGAGATGCTAACAAATGCTGACCCAACACAAATATCATTTATCCGACGCCATTATGTCATATATTGACCACATCTCCGCTTTTCCCAACCAGCCTCAAGGCAAGTGAATAGTGAGTGGTGCGGGAACCGCTACGATGACATACGTAGCATATACTCAAGCCACCAAAGTCAGTGTTTCAAGATGATCTCACCCGTTATATGTCGATGTCCAACACGCCCAAGCATACGCAGCCTCACTTCAGAACTAGTGACTTGGTATTTCTACCGGATATGAGTATCCTTACAATGCAACAGTCATCGAACACCCAGAATCACCGGACATCCTTAACTCAAAGGCCAAGTTTCATAGGCGCAAAGCAGAACTATCCGTACTGACGCACTTCTTGACTGTTGTTTTACAGACAGGATGACGTCACAACGACACCAAAGATGACTCACAATGGTATGTGTTGTTCTAGCTTTTGATGTGCAGTTTGAAATTTCATCAGTCACGCCTTTAACAGTACTCGTATAACCACCCAAGTACAAACTTTCCGACCATTTTATGTTCATCATCTGATTTATATCAATTATCAGAGGAACGTGAAAATCCGAACATACAATTGCACATCGACGCTCGGATGCAAAACTGAAGCTTATGAGAAGTCTGAAATTAACAAATTTCCATTCAACATTCCCCAGAATAGCCGGAAAAGAATCCTATTTAACTAGTCTAGTATTTCCTTATCTGCCACTCAAGTGAAAGAAGTATCACTGGGCACGATATTCTGGGATATTTCAGCAGTTTCCGACGACTTAGATGTCGAAATTCAGTTTGATAGTCTAATCAACCAAACAAACAACTTTCAACCAGCTTTAGAAAAGAATTTGAAACGACCGGAATCAACTACTTTTAAGTTGCCACCATGAGTACCAATGCAAAAGTGAATATTAGAAGATTACTACCAAAGGAGCACAAAACCCAACGAAACCACCTGATAAACGAATAAACGTTGATCATTCCCGATAAGGGTGTTGTTATTATCTTTCTAGACTACCATGATGAAGTGGGTAATTTGTTTAAAACTACCACCAAGTAAGAAAAGATTTTCAAAAGAAACTGCCCAGAAAGATATAACCGGATAAACTGAGCCAAAGCTGATCAAAATCCTCAGAAGTCAAAGATGATTCGATCATTGGTACTGATCTGTTTGAAAACCATCTGGCTCTAAGATCCAACGAATATATAGCTTTCTGAATGCACAGAAGAATGTTTATTTCCATCAAAGAATAAGATATGAATATTCATGCCATACAATTGCAAAATGGTTGACTGAAACTCTTCAACCAGTGGAAAATCAGATCGATAAATAAAATTTACTTGGTTCACTCAATTTTGTAAATTCAATAAGGAACCTCAATGTATTACACTTCACTCTTTACAAATGTCCCCCTCACAAAGAATATTTACCTACTGCGTAAATACATCGAAATTAATAATTTAGCAGTCAATGTTCCGAATCACTATCTTAAGTAGTTACTTGTATAATGTATTTTAATGTGCAATTTAGACTCAACGATAAATTTTATCGCCAAGCAATAGGGTCACCTATGGGTTCTGTTTTAGCAGATTACTTCACTGCTAACCTGGAGCACATCGTACTACATTCGGTTATCGATCAGTTCCATTTATGTAGAATATACATGCATGACACTTTCATTGTGTGAGATAAGAAAACTGATCTTGATGCCGTAACTATTGAAATTCAGTGATTGTCAGACCTGGAAGGAGTTGAGATGCAAATCAAAATCTCATTTTCTTAATATTTCGTCCAAGAGAAGACCTGATAACTTCCTGAAAAGTCAATCTACATGAAACCAACTTAGAATGGATAGTATACTTATTTCCAAAGCTGGATATCACTGAGCTGAAAAATGAACTTCATTTATCCACTTTACGCAAGAATTAGAAAATTTTGCACAGAAGACACGATAGACAAAGTGATAGAAAATCTTTGAAATGTACTTCTTTATGATGGCTACTCCCAAAGATTCATTGAAAAGAAAAAGAGGTCCAAATACAACAACAACAAATAGTTCGTGTTGTTTCTAAAATCTTACTCATAAGTATGCAATCCAAAGGAAACGATACAGTAAAATCGCTCAAGAATCGATTGACTGAAACAACGCAAACAGTATACACTACTGATATGCGAACTGTCTTCTACAGGTGACAGCTGATTCAAGATATGAAAAGCAAATTGTTGCTTTGGGCGACATATACGAGTGTTTATCAGTTTATCAACTCCTATTGTTGTATACATTGTACAAAGAGAATTATTTCCAAACGTATCTACGAGCACTATGCTGCTTGCACATCAAGCAGAGAATGCAGATCAACAGCAACCGCTTAATCCCAGACGATTTGGTCAACTCTGATCGTGTTACCTCAGTACAGTTTTCTTTCAAAATTTGATACAGATTCAAACAGAAAAGCTCAAAAAGAGTGTCGATTCTTCACTTATGTATACTAGAGAGACAAATGGATCAATGTTGAGCTTGGCACAGGAATCTATAGTTTTAATTTGACATACTTTAAAACAATATGCAAAGAAGAAATAGACAGAAAAGGAATGAAATAATAGTAGACAGACTGACTGACAAAATCAAGGTAGAACCTCGCACACAGATGCATCAGCTTAAGTTGCCACAAAAGAGTAGGAGGTGGAATGAATAGATTAAGGTTGATAAAAATGTTCATAACTTCGAAGATGACAATGAGTGTGTACACTTGCACTATTGCGAACAATTTTGACCAATATCACTAAGAATCGCCAGACATTGATTCTTATTGTCTCAAAGACCCTAGTCAGATACCCTACTTCTATTTTAACACAGAGCAGATCAACAGTCACAAACCGATGATTGGTAGTAGTGTGTAAATCATTGCATTATCTCCTTGAACCGGATAAGACATCATATCAACTCTGAACTTATTTTACTGAAAATACTGACCGAAATGCAAACGTAGAGAACGACATTTACAACCCACTGAAAATTTATTCGTCTCAAATAAAGTTATTATTATTATTATTATTATTATTATTATTATTATTATTATTATTATTATTATATTCATTATAGAGATCGATGCAACTAGAATGATGAAAATATTACAGACATGTCAGTTTTACCTGTTTATGTGAATCGATACGTCCTTTGATACTACCATCTTGGATAAGTACAGCAAGTTCATTCTCTAGACTAGCCACATTTGTATCAAATGCTTTAGCCATGCAATTTAAATCAGCCGATGAATATGGACTGAAATACTAGTTTTTTAAAACAAAAAGATTAGAAAATAAAGAATAAGCGTAACTGTGTCACTACTATCCGTCTTTACAATCCTTAGCACCACACAGCATTATATATATATATATATATATATATATATATATATATATATATATATATATATATATATATATATATGGTGTTACACGGTAGGAACCAATCGATAGGAAGCTGTGGATCTACGTTTCATGCTTGTTAGCACTCATCAGCAAGATGTATACACAATCATCGAGAAACTAGTGTTCCCACCGTGATACGAACGAGCATCGTCGTTGAAAAACTCCATTGATAAATTTCGATCAGTTCCAGTATCTAAGCTTCGAAAATAGAATCATACATTTTGGTCGAACAAGACCTAATAACATCATATGGTGCACCTCTCAGTGCTCATACAAAATAACATCAACCCCACTGTGTGGGTGTTATCTTGACGTGCAGATTTGGTTTACCTACCGTAATGAATCACCTACACTAATATATAGGCTGTAACACTTGAACTTTTACTGTGCCACAAAGGTTCAATAGTTCACATCTTTCCGTCTCAAGGATTTCCATTACAGATTGCTATGACAACGAACAAATTGGCATGCCTTCATATCAGGTGTTTGAAATGATAACTGCAAAAGATATGGCTTTGATAATGTCACCTGAATTTGACTTTTTGCGAGTGACTTCAAAGGCCACCCCAGGCATTTTGACTGAGAAGGTGGTTTTTCATGAAATAAAGAAACGTAATTGGTTATCTTAGTAGTTGTTAGGGTGGCCTTTAGAGTCACTCCTTGCTAAGTTTTACCCACGCATGAGTCACTAACTAAACTGAACATAAGATGAGCTGAGTTTTTTCCTCTCTCCATGCTATAATAGAAGACCAAAACTGATTGCACAGTGTCTTTGTATTTATACCATCCAGTTACGAGTGACTCTAAAGGTCATCTCAACCTACTACTGAAATAACCAATTAGATCTCATAATTTCAGCCCCCAAAAGTAGCTTTTGTTGGGATGGCCTTTAAAGTCACTGTCAGTCATACATATATACAATTGAATCTCATGTCAACAATGCATCATAATCCATAGAAATGACACAACTCTTGTAATGCATAGAAGTTGGAATAACATGTAATAATCGAATTATTTCGGAACCATGATTCGTAACAGAAATGAGTGAAAAGCCAATGAACATCTGAGTTATAAAATAATGCTGTAAAACAAACTTAAAGTAAAATGTTTGACAGAAGGTCGATACTACTTGTCTGATATTCCTGTTTTCCTTTCGCCGATTTTTTGTAACAGAGACTGTTAAGCTATTGAAATAGCAAAGTAAAACTATAAAACCAAGATTAAATATTTCCAAAAAGGGTTGTATACTCTCAAAACTAAGAAGGAATACTTGTGGTTTTCTAAAGTGATGCTTTTAGAAGTGATTCAACTAGTATACGATTGCAGTCAACTGAACTACCTTTTTCTCTAATTTCTCGAATGAAAAACCAATATACTGATAAATAATTATAGTTGAAAAATATTCAGAATACATTCAATGAGGTTAAATGGTGAATGGCAAACTTTTGAAAGTTTATTCAGATATTACAATTAGTGCAACTATTTGGGAAATGCTTGGTATTTATATTCAACTAAAGGCCCAAAGAAAGATGATGGTATTTTAAGTTAATTCGACATACTTTATATGTATGCGTGTATAAATGAAAAAGTTTAAACGAATATTTACGGTATACACTTACTGGTCTAGTACAGTTCCCAATGAGTCAACCAAGTCATTGACTCTCGAATTCCCATGTATTTAGTTTGGTCTTACACAGTCACTGACCTAACTCAAATGACTGATAATTTATAGTTAAGTCAAACTGAATCTCAAATACCACTCACTACATGGTTTACTTGTAAATTTCATGATGAGATATAGCTTTCAGAGTCAAATACCTCTGCACACATCGAACTAAGAACTATTGTCATGCTAAATGGTAGAAAAGTAAAGTTCAGATTTGTGTACTAATCTACAAAGTATATAATCTGTATGAGGAGAAAGCAAAGCATCTCTGGAAGGCGAAACTGGATTCGTTGGCTGAAAGCCAACATAATGCAATCAATGATGTCAGTAAATAGAACCAGACTCAGTAGTTTACAGGATGACAACCTTAGAAAGTTCAAGCCCTAGGTCTAAGAGTATGAAGTCAAACCATAGAATAATTCGTGGATCAGTAGCCCTGGATGGTACAATAAAACAAAAAAATTGTCTAATGCTCTCTGTTCTGTAACTGTCACCTAAATGATATTTAAGTCTTAATGATAAACACCTTGAATATATGCACACGAAAATGAACAAATTTATTCTCTGTTAACAGTAATGAATATACAGTTTTGATGGCATGGCCAGAATGTCTAGAAAAAGGAACGACAGCATTCAATAAAGAAAAATTCATGTAGGATCAGGACTGGAAGAAACGTTTAACGTAATCGTGTTAAACAAGAGCCTTAAAAGCGGGGCGGCGTACACTATTTACTCAAGTCATTCATTTATGTGAAGTCTCATTGTTAACGGTTTTTAGCTCAACACTGAAACGTCCGACAGACAAAACACAAACTGGTGTCATCCAATCTGAACAGTGTAAACAACCGTTGATAGGAGAAAAACAAATATCCGTAAACTTCGAAGGCATGATTCATCACGAACTGGCATTAACTGGAGAACAGTAAAGAGCTGAGGAGCACTGGACAACTGTTTCGTTCTAGTGTCGGGCTCCTCAGAGGTGAACACCGACGGCCCTGCGATGGACCGAGCCCAAGAGTACTAGGTCTTGAGGCAATCCGGACTCGATTCCTCTCGAATTCTTCGGTGTACACTGCTAAGGAGTCTCACAGTGGAATGAGATTAATGCCCAGTGCTCTCAAGTTTTCAATGCCTCTGTAAACGCTGCCGTCTGTGGCTAATGCTACTTTGAAATTAATCTTCCAAAGAACAAACAACTGAATTCACAAACTTTATCATACAAGCTTCACTGTGTAAAAGATCAAATTCAAACGATGTTCCTCACGTGAACACAATATACAGTTAAAAGAACATGCGAACATCTACATGTGAAACACTAACCTGACAAAGAGCTCGTGACCGAATTTCTCTACATAAGGCGGATACATGATCAGAAAGAAATAAATCCAATCGTAAAAAATTGCGTAATTTGTTCAACCGGCCCAAACAGACTGCATAATCTGCTTGATAAACGATTGTAGTATGTCACGACAAGCAGGTTCAGCTTCTAGTAATAACCTAAGCGAAGTATTTCCAAGCACTAATTTTGCTAATTCGGTACGTTCAAAAGTAGCTAGACCACATAGTGTGATGAAAAACGCTAAATCTGACATAGTTACAATTCGACTTGTAGGTGACTCGCAATGGTCATGACTAACCTGAAATGGAGAACAAAAAATGACGAAGATTTACAAGTAACTAATGATATATAGCGAACGACTTTTCAAAACAAATTCCCAGTTAAAATATGCATAACACATTACGAAGTTTCAAACCGAACTCGGATGACTGCTGTACATCTGAGGACAGTCGATAGCAAATAAAACTAAAATGCCTCAGATATTAAAGATGCAGTCTGAGTTTTGCTGATAACAATACTCACGAAATCACCCAAACACTATCATTTCACATGGTACTGTCAGTCGAACTCAAAACCTACTCAACTACCTTGTGCATATTCGTGCGGTAGGCAGTGAGCCACACCTAGGGTAAGGTCAACAATACTACCCGGCTGACCAAACTTCGGTAGATGGAGCGATGTTTGAACCCGTGCCCCCCCCTAAAAAAAAACCAATGATCCACAACTCATGATACTATCCTGCTGTGGTACTGTAGCTTAGCGATGTAAACACTATATAGCAGCAAATTTGTTGCAATTTTATAGTGCATCTCCTCTTACTGTTAACTTGCCTAAACTATACATGTGACTCCTACCAAATACACAAAAACCTAAGTGACTACTGAATTGTATTGTTCTGTTACTAATCAGTAAAAGATTGATTTTAAACAGGAAAACTTTTGACATTACAAATAAATAACCACCAAACTTGTCGAAAATTAGTAAAAGCTTCTAGCCTATTAACTGATCCACTTCTTTAACGCAAAGTTACAGGGTATCATAATATTTCATAGAAATTATCGCCAAACTTACGCCTATTAGGCATAGTGTCGTGTTCCTTTTACAACTTAGGGATTGAAATAATAAATCGGCTTGCTGTAATGCTGCTAAATAGTTTAAAGAAACTATTTTATACGGGGGTAATAAATCCAAAATACTTATTCTTATGAAATAAAATAAATTTCTCATGTGCTTTTTTACAGGTAGTAGAAAAACAGTGACTATATTACATTTCTGTGGAAGCTGTTGCGAAGAATTGATGACGGTACTATCAGGCTTTAATGCAATAGAAATAGGTTTATGAAGTAGTAAATAGATAAGTTTATTTTCATGCAGTTACATCAAAATAGATACCTCATTGTGAATAACTGACAGCGAAGAACTCAGCGAACAACACTTTCATAAACTTACGTATATTGGTACCAGCAGACTAAATGTGAGACCAGTGACGATAACCTTCATCACTAACACAGACTCATACAAATAAACTACTGACAGAAAATAACAAAAACAACTCACTTGAAGGAAATTCATTGCAGCACCTCTGTAGTTACGAGAAGCTAACTCAACTAATCCTGCTGCGATAGCCAACTGAGTTCGGGCTTGGGTTAAGGCATCACGATAGCTCTGGCCACCCGATGTAGGCACATATCCTCCAAGAATGTCACTCGGTTGTCGTGATAAAATCCGACCAGAAGGATCTATAAGGCTAGAAGAGCCACCACTTGTAGTAGATTCGCCTGATCTTGTTGAACCAGATACTTCAGAAGTCGTTGTACGTGTTGTGCCTTGTCGAGAAGTTACTTCAGTACGACTCCTTTGTTGAGTGTTTGATTCTGCTTTGTTCACACATATTAGTGGAACTGTATCACGTAGCTCAGATAAACTACCAGCTCGAGTAACATGCGCACCAACATGAGACCAAGCACGCTGAAATATAGCCACCTAATGTACGAAAATAAAACATTACGAAATTTTTATTTATTGATAGTCACTTTTTGATAGTAAAAGTGAAAAGTAAGCTGATTCCTGTCATTCAAGGAGCTCGCTCCACTAGCTAACGTCTGGTTAGCCAGGTAATATCATCATACCCATGGCCTAGTGCACAACTCTGAGTGTGGCTATTGAGTTACATTGGCACTAGCATTAATTTGCCTCCAGTCATTATACGCCCCACTAATAATTAGAAAACATTTTGTTGAAGTTTATGTTTCTAGTTGCCATTTGCTATTTGCAAATGACTAGCCTGAGTTATTTACCCGTTATTAATTCACTTAAAATACAAGATTGGTACAGCCTATTTAAGGTAACTTCCTAATACTTGTTAAGTTTATGAGTCCACCAAAACTAATGTCGTTACCACAAATCAGTTATTATGTATATAAGCCGACGAACACTACAGTCACTTCAATCAATTTGTAAATCAGTTCACTTCCAAAATAAGTTCAACTATTATTGCATTACTTTCTTATCTGCTATAGCCACGACTTTTCAAGTGATCATTAATTTACTTACCTACAAACCTAATGTAATATAGGCATCGACAAATAAGCTGCACAATGTAGCATAACGAAAGTATGGAGTCAAAAAAAAAAGTGAAACGACAAACGAAAAGATATGTTCAAAAAAGCTCTCATCACACCTATGTTACTTTTGAAAATAGATAGAACAGGCAATAAAACCAAGTGGTCACTACTAGCTTCGATTTTGAGCCGTATCCAGAAACGTCTCAAGCCACTAAGTCATTTAGTCTCTCAGTTCTCAACCGAAGAGTTTGAACGTATCCAACAAAACTATTCTTTATCCCAATGGTACTGATTACCTCTCCGCTTTCTTCATACATTCTTATTTATTGGTTCTAACACAATAATGAAACAGCTGTCAAACCAAACTGCAGTTGAGATAACAATCCTATTCAACCACCTGCAATCTAAAATACAAGTAATTGCCAATATCTCTAATATAGAATACTTAGACTACTAGATCACAACTCCACCAGTTTTCACAGTGCATAAAGTTCAACTTAAATAAAAAGTATATTTTACCATAGAAATGTTTGACATAGTTAAATTATCATCAATCTAACCCAAAAATGTTAAATACAAACACTGTGAATAGATTTACCTTGATGACATTTAAACACATGGCTAATTCTTGTTGTTGGGATGTGCAATAATCTCGAGAACGAGTGAAGCACTTATTTGCATTGTTTAATTGACCTAATTGTAAATACAAATCTCCAAGATCATCTGAACCACGACTGTTTCATCAAATGAAAGAATAAGAAAAAAAGTAATGATCTAGATATGCAGAAATTACTTGTACAAAAATAAGTTAGGTGGATCTTCGACTATGTCAATCAACCAGCCAACACCAACACAGAACTCAGGATTACTAACTAACGGTTCAAGTTGCTACATCTCACATCAGCACAAAAAGATACAAGGTAACAAGATGAATAAAATAGAGAAACGAGAAACAAAATGTAATCAAAAGTCTAAGGAAGTCATACGAACAGATGATAGGATAAAACAGTACTGAAGTGCAAAATAATGATTAGGATAAAGATATGTAGATGCATTTTTATCAGACTCCGACTCGGAGTCATATCATCTAGTCTTCAACGACCAATATCGGTTGCCATGCAAACCCAAACCGTAAAATCTACACTCCTTACACGGTTCATACCAACATTCAAATATTTCATGGAGTGATGTCACATTACATTCCGGTTTTTTTTACCCTTTACCAGCCTGAAACTACTTCAGTTAGCATTTTGAGACGGAGTGGATGGTGACTAGGAATGCACCACTTAAGTTCCAACCAGCTGAGTCAACAAATTTTTGGAAAAAATTAAAATGCACTCAGTCACCACATGCACTTCCATGCAGAGTATACAATGAGTCACATATATGCTGTGCGAGGCTTAATAATACTACCTCGTTGCCCGTAAATCAATAAAAGGAGCGGGGTTCGAACCCCTAACCCAGTAGTTGAAAGTCAGGTGCTTAGATCGATGACCCGCAGGTCTATTTTAATATGCTACTAACTTCGTTACCGATTACTAATATGGTCATGGGATATCAGATGACTACTATGGTAATCCTTTGGATACTATTCTTGAGACTCGCTGTACTGTACTGTATACTGAGTATACTGAAATATGAAGCTATGAACTGATAGAAACTAATAGCCTCAACAACTGACTTACCTTTTTTATCTAAAACTCCATGCATGATTTCTACGTTATTTACGTGATGACACTACGAAAGAGCCTAAGTTACGAAAGCAATGGTGGTCGAAACACCTGAAGCCTTTTTATATCCTATACATTCAATTGCTACGTTGCACAAAAAGGTACTAGAATAGAGAGAAATGAAACGTCGTACATTTGGCCCTTAATAGGTAATCGGATACCATGGCGGCGCTATAGATGTAGCAACTTGACAAAAGCCAGTAGAACCTTTTGTATCCGTGCAGAGATTTCGTTTGTCACTGACCCATCAGGGCTGATCTAACTTCTCACATGCCCAACCACTTCCTATCGTCAGACGACGTATCAACCCAAATGCCTGAAGCAGTTTAGACACTCGACTATTGACCATGCTGTTATTGATTAAAATCGACCCTACATAACTTGGCATAGGCTAATAATAATAGTAATAATGTTTTCGACTCTCACATCATAACTGACCTTCAGTTTGGTAGAGGACCTTTACAAGTTTGCTGAACTGCAAATAATTATTTCAACTTAATACACGCACATTGCTTCAAAGTAATATGTACGAGCACGCAAATTATTCATCTCAGTTTATCCCGTACATCAGCAAATCAGTCTCAGTTCGCATCATTTACTCTCAAAATTTATACACCTCAAACAAGTGAAGTACTGAAGGGAGGAGGAAAGTAAACAATAACCAATGTGCAACTAGTGGTAGTTTCCCTTACTTTGTAACTGTCAGTTCTGAACACCAATAAAAGAATCCCAATGCTACAAAGTTTTCGGTTAGATCTATAGGAAGAGATATGAGGCATTGTAAATGATTCTCAACCAAGTGATCTGTGGTCCCTATTAACGATCTTTACTGCCCTTTGAATCCAAATCAGAGTCTACAGTTTTCTTATGAAGCGCAAATAAGTAGTCGATAACTATATGAGCTAATGTACCTGAGGCATAAGTGACAAAAAAACTTACAAAAACTGAGCATTTTCATAAAATGAACTAATGGTAAGTTACTGAGACAATCCTAAATAAAAGCCTTTTACATCAAAAATGTTATAAACAAAAAAATATCAAAAACACTTGTTAACTAAAAAATCTCTACTATTAGAATACCGTATGCTTTCTTTGATTGAATTCGCTTTGTGGTTTTTGAGCTCCGTATCTAACTGTTCTAATAACATAATTCCTTTCCTCCTTGTGGATTCTTCCCACTTGGCATCATAAACTAGATTGGCCTCATTCTGTAAAGAAATACTGTATGATAAACTTTAAAGTTGCACTAAAAAAAATTACGTCTACAATATAAAACACGCTCAAATAAAAATGTATCTTCGAAAGTGAATATTAATATAGTGAACGGGTCATCACTCATTGAGAGAATTTGAATATACTGGATGAAAGCTGAGTCAGACTACAACTGTTAAGAGCCATCAAGAAATCCTATACTAAAATAGTGACTTTTAATAACAAAGATATATACAAACTTTGAGGAAAGAGCTGCTGACCTTACATTGTCACTCTTGGTGACTATGTGGCTGACCAACAGGACACATGCTACACGAAACTGAATAAAAAATGTAACAGCATGGAAGAAATACGTAATAATAACGACAATAAGAGTTACAGCTACTTTCTGATATACTTGCAATCCCCCGTTGTTATATTGGATCGAATTGTTCGACCTCTGTTGACACATGGGCTCCGATATTGCCTGAATATTTATATTTATACTAGCCACAACCAAGTAAATGACAATAATAATAAGAGTCAAAACAACAATGATAAAACAAAGTAGGAATCATTCGTCTTGCGTCTTAAATAACAGAAAATGGTGGTGGAATTACAAATGTCTTTGATTTCAAGAAATATTTGATGGCGCTTCTAGACGGAAAGTTAGATAATCTCTTCGATGAAGATAAACCGAAACGCAACTCAACAAAAGATTGCAGTTAAAAATGAAGCACATCTATTTTTGTGAACGCCTATCATCTCCACCGATAGTTGCTACATTAAAGTGATTGTAAGGTTTGCATATCACGACCCAATCAACTATGTTGGCTGAGTCGATCGTTCCAACCATCCCAAAAGCGTCTACTGGATAGTGATAACACAAAATCCATTTGCCGTCATTATCTAAATACCAAGGCTATGATGTGCGTTCGAGGGCGAACTCATAATGATATCTCAATCCACTGTGACAGTAGTAAGGCGTCTCTCTCATAGACAACCAACACAACTATCCTCATACTACCTTCCCTAGGCCAAACACGACCACTAAGAAAAATGCTCACATACAGTCATAACAACACACCACTTCAACGCTCAAACATCGAAGATGAGCTAATCAGAAAGGTAAATTTAAAATATCTATGGTATCTCATGCCGACCAACCAACAATAGTCATCGTCTCATCAAATCTCACTCACACAATCACTCTTTCCCACCCAGCAGCAAACTCAAACAAAAGGAGAGAAACTGCTTCATTTGGCGTCCCGCAACAACCAACCAACCAACCATCAACACACATGCATCACATTGCTATAACCCATTGTTCAACGGGATAAGTACAGCATCATACGTCTTTCTACAGTGCCTGCTTTCACTCCCATCACAACCCACTACAGACACGTGCAACTTTCCACCTCACTGGTCACAGAAAACAGGCAAAAGTGAAAGCTGTGTCTTCTCAACTCGACAACAACAACAACAACAACACCAAATACGTATTCCTGGAGCAATTAGCGAAGCAGTTATCGGAACATTGTAGCAACTCTCACAACCATAAAGCCTAGTATAATACTCAGTCTCCTGCAGAAACACTAACAGTGACAACTCGTATCCTACCTACATACAAAGGTTACAGAAACCCAGTCGCTCTCCACAACCTCACCTAAAATGATTCATGCAACAACACTCCTCTCCTCCCACCTGCCTCAGACCACAATGAAGAGCGAAAGCAAGTTTAAAGTATGTTGACTAAGAGTCATCGCAATCATCGACAGCAATGGTGGGTGGCCAAAGCCAAAGACATGGAGAAAACATCACCACTACACACTACTCGACAAATTATTTACGCCTATTAAAGAAACAGGTAAGAAAAACACAATGACTAGGCAGACCATCACCAGAAAGTTGCGTGCAACACTTTGCAGCACTGTTCAACTAACCCACATCAACCATTTCATCACCACCATCCACAATCCAATTTCAACACACACTCAGCGTTCAAGTCGGTACAACAGCTCTCCTCAAAGTTACCACGGTTATTTCAAACCTGAAATGATGCAAACCAGCAGAACCTGACAGTCCAACACCAAAATTTAATAGGCAAAAAGGCACAAAATTACTGAATAAAATGACCAACGCACTAGGTACTGTATGAAAATCAGATTGGGCTTTTTCATCGAACATCACAGTTCACAAAAGAGGAACCAAGTCTTCTGGTAACAACTCAACACACATCAGTTCGACTAACATCCTCTCCAAAATCCTAGGCTCCATAGTTAAACAACACCTAACTCAACCTCGAGAACACCCAACTCAAGAAAACTAGGCAGCCCTCACACCTCGACAAGACGACATCGATCACATTTTCACCCTTTGACATACCTCCGAAAACAGGAATACTTAACAACCACAAACACCTTCTCCACCTCCTCAACTCAAGACGATATTCAAGTTTTTCAACCAAGAGATGCTATGGCAGTGTCCGACTCTGAAACCAGTACCAAACAACTACTTAACACTAATCAAAGCTCTCTAACCAAACTCACACACCCCAGTAAGAGCTAATGGGCAACTGTTATCTCAATCTATGACAACCAGTGGTACCTATCGTAGATGCTCGATGCCACAATTCTTCTTCCACTCTGTAACAGACCAACTAACAGACAACCCTACGTGTCTCCAAACTCACCGAAAATGACCAACTCGCTGCACGACATCTTGCTGACTTCAAGTACACACATGACACTGTCGTGTCATGTCATGTCATGTCTTATGAAGCCCCTGACCACACCTCCAGTTCATACACTTACACAACTGTCTTTCAATCACTCCACCACGGGTCCCATCCCTACTACACATAACTACATCTGGGTAGTCAATCATTATGACTGACCTGACCCTAATGCAACACATCCAGCTCACTGCCTACTCCACCACCCTTAACGTAGTTGCTCAGTCCACTTCCACTCTCATCGAACAACTTCAACAGAAATCTCAGCATCTTCAGCATCAGTTCAGCACCTGTCATACACTTGTATGATGATCCTTCAACACTGCTTTCCAGCTACTCCCACTTCAACAAGTAGTAGAGTGCGTTGACCACTTCACTTACTTGGCCAGTCACATCACCCTAAACGACTTGGTCACTGAAGAAATCTCACCTCAGATACAAAAGGCATGTTAGAAATTCCCCTACTCATACCATATTTGGTCCCAGCGAAATATCCAACTAACAATCAAAAGATGAGTATATCGCACTGCTCTTCGCTCTGTCCTATTATACAGCTGTGAGACATGGCCATCGAAGATAGAAGAGAGAAAGCGATTACAGGTTTTTGACCATACGTGTCTTCCCAGCGCTGCTCATGTATGGTGAGTGGAATCACCGTGTGAGCAATGTCGAGGCAAACAGAGAGTACTAGGCTAGAAAGTCAACGAACTTGTGAATCATTACTGACTGGGGTGGCTCGGATATGTGTTCGGTCTGCTCAGTCATCATATAGCTTGAAGCGTAATGTTAACCTAAGTAAGACTGGATTGGAAGGCTTAAGGTGTTCAAAGCAAGACGACGCATCAGTCCATAAACTGACGATGGTTTAGTGTTCTGTAGCCAGAAATTAGTTAAACGGCCAGACTGGTAATTCCTTAGTTTATTTCCTTTAATACTAATGGAAGTATCTGCATAATAACTAGTGAAATATTTATTATATTTTAAGCCCAAATGTGCGAATGTAAATCAAATTTATTCGAGTGTACAACGACTGGTTTACCAACTACACAATAATTTTTGCAAACTCAGCTAGTTCCGCTTTTTAACTTTCCATCCGTTGTTAGGAATTGCTGACTGTTAAGCTTTGTATGAGTTATTATCATTTGAGGTTCATATGACTTTGCATGCTACTTTAAGCATATAGTAAAAGTATGGTTTCAAACAAAAGTGTATTTGCTATACACAGTCCTTAACGCGTATTAGAAAGCAACGATTTGAAAATTCGATTTTTCTGATGAGTTTAAATAAAAAGTACATCATCTGTCCTATAGGATTGGAATATAAACAATAAAGACTCGCAAACATCATCCAAATGACCATAGTGATACTAGCTGTTGCTTCACCAATATCTTTATGTTCCTTCTTTACCAGTTCTTCTTACTTCGCACTCGCTCGAGATACAGCTTATACACTGATATTGCTTTAAACAATAAAACTGACGGCTGTGCATCGGTAATCACTAATGCTGTCACAAACTCAATAAGTAAAACCCAAACACATCTTCATTTCGAACAAACCACTGGATTTCACATCTCACCTCCCAACAAAATAAAAGCTATTTTCTATACAGATGCGTAAGCAGTTGGGAAAACTAAAGTCAAGTGAATAAGATTTGGAAAAAGTCAACTGGGTGCAGTGAACACAATACTCCAAAAATTTAATTCACCTCAGTACAACTTACTTTACCAGACATGACATCAGTCAAAACACTTCTGGTAGCTTCCGTTAAAGAGGGTCCGAATACCGCTGATTCTTCGGAGCTAGACAAGGATAAACCATCTGAAATATGATTATTCATCATGGGACGAGTTGTGGAAACAGGCTGTTGTTGCTGACTAGAAGATTCACTAGATGCCGATGGACCACCTGAAAGATTGGTCTAGAAGACAGGAAACATTCGTTTAGTTAAGTTGACCAGTTCCTGACTAAATGCATTGTTAAAAAGCTATTACCACACACAAAATAATAATTTGAGCGCGGTGTTATAATTAAGATAGCTTTAGGATGCTGAATCCTGTGGTGTTATGGAAATAATTGAGTTTACGACCAAGAAAAGACTGAAATGCACTCAGTAGCCCTGCGCATATTCGTGCACAAGATAATGAGTCACACCTTTTTTGTCCTGACTAGTGATAATACCACCTCGCTGCCTTAACCTTTGTAGGTGGAGCGGGGTTTGGACCTATGACAAAGGATGTCATCTTCCTTACCCAATAGGACGCAGCTCCACGAGTTTACGGTCAGACAACCAATAGCCAATGAATTACCTACAAAGCTCTTCTGAAGTGAAAAGTCAATGCTTTTCGAAATAATTTTCTGAGGCGATGAGATTATTTTTATATTTACCACATTTTGAGTTGAACAAGTAAGCATCTTATGGACGCAGTGTAACCCACAAAACTCTCGGGAAATATAAAGATTTGCTACGCTACAGACTGAAAATTATTTGCTATGATTACTATACGTCAAACCTGACGTTACTTGACGAAACGTGTACTTCAGGACGCGGTATTCTGTTTAAGAAGGTGGAAGGAGTGATAATTGGCCAACATACATTTTATTCAGTCGAACCACTTCCTGTATCTAGCACTTTCTAAAGGAAAAACTATAGAATAAAGAATTTTGTGGTTTTGTTCATCGTCTGTTTAATTCTCATAGGCTACTTTGCCTACAATTCTTTAGTGGTAATAAATCGATAAAACGAGTGCAACACATCCACGACATATTCTTACGCTTTGGTTACGATGTTTCTCAAAGTCGAAATCACCACCATTTAGGAAGGATAAAGTTATTTACAAGCAAATGCTTTTCGACATCCCATTTCCATAATGATTTTCCAAAATTTGCTCAGAATTTTACAGCTGCTTTTATACATCACGAGGTGTGTCTGAAGGCATAGAAATGTTTTTAATTTCTTTCCTTACGTCAACTACTGATGCCCATTTAATAATTAGATTCCCTGCTACTCAACAAAAATTCAGTCAATAAGTTAGGTGACTATGGAAATATAACAAACCAAAGGTATGCGCTACAGGTTTAAGGACCTTAGACCCGACAAAGCCTTTTAGATTAAAAGCGAATACTCAATTCTATAATTTAGCTAAGACCGTCGCACTAAAAGATCACGTATAAAGTCAAGCGATTCATGCCTTATGAAATGCAACAAATGCTTAAAAATATAAGTTTTGTGGAACCCTAGTAGGGTGGTAAAGGAGATATATACCTCTAGCCATGGCCCATGAACCAGACCGTACTATCTGAATGCACTGACCAAAAACAGCTACACTTAGTCAAGAAGCATTGAATGAGAAGTAATAAATCAGATACTCACTTGCTCGGCTAGCATAAGAAAGATTTTATTATACGCTGAAGTATCTAGTGTCGACTTCTTGATGTAATCGTGGGCAAGACGAAGAGCTGTGACTCGAAGTGAAGGACAACGCTGAGCAATGAAGAAGAGGCGTTGGTAGTATATATATCCTTGATAGTTTGAAATATAATTTGCTAAATCCTAACAGACTGTCGTTATTTATTACACAGAAACTTGCTATTTGTATCTCATCATCAACAGCTTCATATTCTGTTGAAACATTTGATGAAGATGGGACGTCTTCAAATAGGGCAGGATCCAGGTGAAGCATGTCGGACACTGACTAGGACAGTTGTAAAAAAGGTTATTATTAGATTTTTGTCAGAACTGTAGGTAAACACGTTGTTGTAGAATGGGGGCCTAAAGGAGTGTGTTTAGTGGTGACCACGAGAATCTAGAAGGGAAAAAGAAAAACGTGAGCTGACGACTCATGAAGTAAACAGGATGTGCTAACATCCAATGGTAAAAGATAACCGACAAACAGTATATTTTGAAACAAAAGAGGTGAGAAGCCTAGAAATCGAAATAGGGAAGTGGGTGAGCAAGGTTTCAAATGCACTACATGGTCAACAAGTACCGTTACTTTTGAGAAGAACCGCCTAGTACGAAGTTTTTCGTCACATTGAAGTCGTTTACCTTATTATGCTACTCCATTTCTTGTAGAAGAAATGTAATTTATCATCCAACTTCAATCTGAATATCAATCTTCTGTTATTTTGCAGTTTACAACAAATGCATCAAACACCTAGCATCTATTCTGTAAGCAGCGGAAATTGATAGCTTCTGAGTCCTCGTACCTGTATCTTAAGGCTTGGTTCTTGTTGTTTAGTTCTACTTTTGCAGTGGGTACGAAATTATTGTCTTCTCTTTCATTTTTATTTTGTCCGGATGGCTCTTCTCAATGGATTCACATTTGTAACTTCTAGATTGAAACGTTTAGGATCGGAGGTCTTTTTTGAACTACTCACTGTGTATGCGCCTGAATAGGAGCAGCGTGATAAGAATGAAATGGCTTATGAGATGCCTCTAAGGAGTAAAGGGAGAAAGGATGAGTCTGGCTACTGGAGGGGAGTTAGAAGAACGAGTGGGTGGATCAAAATAAACAGTGAGTAATGGAGGAGAGAGTAACAGTGAACTAGTGCAAGGCTTCTTAACTCAAAAATGACCTGAGTAAGTCACCGGTGAGTCATACAAAATGCAGTAGTTATTCACCATACCTTTAAACGAGTCTACTGAAAAAGCCGTAACTACGTCATGATGTGGTGTGCTCCACAAGACCCATTCCCCCAAAGAAGGTGTGATCTAAACCTGAGTACTAAACTTGCCATTGTGCTGAGTGCTTCCAGATACAGCCGTACACAGGGTTTCCTCTTGCATTGTGTTATTTTGAGTGGCCATCGGCAGCCCCACTCAGAGGCGCAGTTGGCCCAGTCTGTCAACAGGTCAGTGAAAATGACAGCCACTCCCAGAACCATGTTGAGTAGCACGAGCAGTGTTTTTCCTGCTAGAGAACTTTCAGACCTCGTTTACCATTGGACTTTTCAGTACTATGGGCAAAGTGGGGAGTATAGTAAGCCATCAATAGTTGCTGGGGTTTTCCTACCTCCTCTCTACAAAGATAGCAAGATGACGCACTTTCACTCTTTCGGAAGTCTTCTTGGCCGTTGTGTTTCCTTAGATGGGTCAATAACTGGTTGACGAGGGTCTCTGAACGGTTCTTCGAGGCTGTTATCCTCGGACAACCACATGCAGAGGCCCCACACGGTCGAAGTCCAGATGGCTTTCCTAGCACATTATTCTGTGATGAGAGTGTGATAAGTGTTGATTTCAACCCATCCGTCCGGCGTCACAGCCCACTGATAACGATTTAATAATAATAATGTTTATTTCTGAAACAGAATCAAGCCATTTTTACTAGTTAGAGCATGAGGGTGACATGGCTAACTGACGAGAATTACGTATTCATGTTTATGGTCCCCACAGAATAAAATACACTTTATACAGATTTCAAAAGAAACCGGAACTCATCCCGAATATTTACAGTAAACGAAATTTGGTTAGGAGGCCAAGTGATAATTATTACGGGGCTCATGAAACACACATCCTGGATTAAAATTAGCGCGCGCCGATTCGGCGGACGAAAGTAAAATCAATCGTTGCAGAGGTGAGTGTTCGTAGGGGACAATAAAGGTTACCACTACCCGTATGCAGCTTTTTGCCATGCAAAAGTATTGCGGCGTGACCGACGTTGGTGGTCATTATTCCGTTCAACCGATGAGTGCAACGAGCATCTTTGACAGTAACTAATTAATCTCCTCACTTACTGCCGCGTTTTCACCAAATAGTTCAACCGGCTGGGCAGTATGTTTGGCTGCCTTTCATCTGGTATGTCAGTATTAGGCTTCTGTTTGTTGGTTAACCTGTGGCGGCTATTTGCAGCATCGCCACCCGATGTAGGTAATTTATCTGTTAAGAACGTGAGTTTACGGTGAATCAGATGTATTCTGTACAATATTTCTTTGCTATCGCCTCATACTTGCTTGTCGCTTGTTCATAGCGTTAGCTGTAAGCCCTGGGTCCAACAGTGGTTAGCCCGATAACGCGTATTGTTTCATCTATTCATTTTTATTGTTTATCTATTAATTTCGATTTTTGTTTGAGAAAAGAATGTCTAACTTCATTGATTTTGATTCCGATGTTGTCAATGAGTCCGTTTCACTAGAGGTTAACACTGGTCGCTACTACGAATCGATTACCAGCCTTCAATAGGCAAGGCCCAGAACTATGGTTCGCCCAGCCGCAGCATTTCTTTGACCGACATAACATTAGGTCAGAGAAACGGGGATACGAAGACTTGTGCTCCATCCTTCCTCTCTGTCACTCAGTAAAGAGGTCCGTGATCTCATAATCAATACCCCTCAAAGAGACCCTTGTTCCACGCCCAAGCGTACGATAATAAGCCATCTATCAACGTCGGACAGCCGACGCATCCAAAGCCTGCTACAAGGTGAGGTGTTGGAAGATAGATCCACATCACAGTTTTTGAGACACTTACAAGAGATGGTGGGAGAAAATGCGGTCGGAGAAGCCATCCTCAAAGGAGGTTGGTTACAGGTACAGCCGCATCATGTCCAGTGTGCGCTTGACGCACAGAACCCGAAAACCCCGCTTCCAGAATTGGCTCAAGTTGCCGATGGCATTATGGAGAGAGGAACAACCAGGGACAACCACAATCACTGCACACTAGTCCTGGCTCATCTAAAGATGCCACCATTACCGAATTAGTGGCAAACGTGAAATCACTAACAGAAGCTGCGGCTCAAATCCAACTGAGTCAAAGCCGAAGAGGCAAGTCAGCACTCAGACATAGACCACGAAGAGGACCCAGAGACTCGAGGCTGTCCGGACGATTCTGATGGCATCAATGGAAACACGGGACACAATCTAAACGATGTACAGAACCATGTTCCCGGCCTAAACAATCCTCTGGTAAACAAGGAAACTGAAGACCCCTTCTCAGGTAGTGACTGCTGAGGAGGTGCGCCCGAACAGTCGCCTATTCTACGTCACCAACAGAAATTCTGGCATAGAATTCTTGGTGGACACGGGAGCCGCTCTTGGTATTCTCGTGCGAAACAAGGTCTGGCTTGGACGCCAAATGTCCACGGTCACGCCACTGGCCGCTAATAAAACAAATAGAGACGTTCGGACAAAAGGCCATCACCCTGGATCTTGGGTTCAAACGGCAATTCCTTTGGGTGTTCACTATGGCAGATCTAAACCTCGCAATACTGGGTATAGGTTTTTTGGAGAGGTGTGAATTCTTAGTAGACACAAAGAAGCGAAGGTTGACGTTGGGGGAAACTTCTAGACACATAATGCGCTAGGCCAGCACAATCACATCCCTAAACCTGGTACAATCTCCTCCAATATCAACCGACAGGTTTAGAAATATATTGGTGGATTTCCCAAACCAGACGTTATCCAACGCCCAGGCCTCTCATGTAAGTCCTAAGGCGACGCATAGCAAAAAAACATATGGCCCTCTTGTTGTCGCAAAACCCAGGAGACTAGCTCCAGATAAACCGAAAATCGCTAGGGCTGAATTTGACTATATGCTTCAGCTAGGCATCATTCGCCCTTCCAAGAGTCAGTGGGCTTCCCTGTTACATATGGTGTTCAGGAAAAATCAAAGAGACCGGGGACCGTGTGGTGATTATAGGGAGCTAAACAAACAAACTATTCCTGATAGGTACCCAGTTCCTCATATTCAGGAATTCACTATCTTGCCGGTGCCACTAAATTCACTAAAAAAAGACCTAGTCCGCGCATATCACAATATTCCGCTGGCCGAAGAAGGCGTTCTAAAAACAGCCATCACCACCCCCCCATTTGGTTTACACGGATTTGTGCGGACGCCTTTTGGCCTTCGGAATGCTGCGCACACCTTCCAGCGGTATATGGACAACCTTCTACGGGACTTACCATTTGCCAAAGCATGCACTAATGACCTACGGATTGCCAGCCCGGAAACAGAATCACATGAGAGTTACGAAAATTAAACGACAATGGCATAGGGATAAATCAAAGTAAGTGTGCATTCAGAGTTGAGGACATTCAATTTTTGGGACACATGATTAATACAGATGGAATATCACCTTTGCCAAAAGAGGTGGAGGCTTTCAATCAGTACCCAGTGCCCACCTCTATAACGCAGCTAGGAATTATCCTTGGTCTAATTAATTTTTATTGCCGACTCATACCACATTGTGAACAGCGCATGCAACCCCTAACTGACGTCTTAAGAAGAAATCCTAGGGACTTTAGGCTCTCTACAGAAGCTACTGAGGCTGTCAACAAGTTGAAAATGGCTTTGACAAAGGCTACAACCCTAAAATACCCCGATGTCAGTGTACCGTTGGCACTGATGGTCGGTGCTTCCGACAAGGCTGTGAGAGCAGCACTGAACCAGTTTTCGGACAATCAACGGCAGCCAGTGGCATTCTTTTCAAAGGGCCTTTCTCCATCCGAAACTTGGTATTCAACATTTGGCCGAGAGCTGCTGGCGACCTTTTTAGTAACCAGGCATTTCCCTCACACAGTGGAAGGCAGGACACGTACGGCCTACACGGATCACAAGTCCTTAACTTACGCCCTGAATGCAAAACCTGACAAGCACTCACTACGTGAAATTCGTCACCCTGATTTTATATCACAATTTACTAGCGGTATAAGACTTGCCCAAAATCGCGTGGCTGACACTCTGCCTCG